CCGGCTGGCAGATCAAAGGGGAGGGCTGCACCTGCCTCTGCCCAGCTGCGGGCCCTTCTCGCACTACACGCCGTCCTTGAGATGGGCAGGTGTGTCCGTGCCATGTGCAGAGTCCCTTATCCATTAGACTTGCATGCAGCATGCTCCTGCCACTGGGGTGCTGTGCATCAGCAGGATGCGAGATAAATCTGGGCCTGCGAGAAAACACTCAGCCGAAACTCCAGCAAATTCAGCTGTGGGCCGCTGTGCAGGTGTACACTAATTCCAGCACTGGCCTGGACACTTTTGCACCCCAACCGGAGGGCATCCTGCATCTTGTAAACAGGAGCAAGGGGAACCACAGCAAGATGTACAAGCCAAGCAGAAGAGCCCGTGTGTGGCAGTCAGCTGAGCAGCAGCTGCTGTTCCAGCACCAGTAGGCTGCAGTGCCTCAGGACACAGATGCTCTTTCTCCACATGCCGTCTCAGAGCATAAGAATGAACCACAGAACTCTCTCAACTGCAAGCGAAACAGCCAACGACTGCCATGACCTTATTTATTAGAAGCACTGAAGTGTCCAACACTGCCACGCAGCTAGAAGCAAGCAGAATATACAGCCAGGTCCAGTTCGATAGATGCCTCGCATCAGAAGAGGCCCGATGCTCTACACTCCCAGGTGAGCATGGAAAAAGTGGTAGCACCGGGGCTTTCCCAGTGCTGCCAGCTTGGGGTCTGCACAGGGAGACCCTGTGAGAGGCCTCACTCTCCCACGCGCATCAGGCAAGAAAACGTGACTTATTGCTCAGCTGACCCAAGCAGACAGCTCTTCCTCTCCCTTCACCGCTTCCTCACGAACTTCCTCGTAGCGGCGTTGGGATTCACGCGGCGCCGGCCTGCACCCAGGGCCGCATCCCGGATGCGCAGGTTGGCTGCGCGGCTGTAGATGTCATTTTCTGCAAAGGGAGAAACCCCTGCGATGTAGTCAGGGTCGAAGACATTGGTTTTCTCCCTGGCCTTTTGGGAAAGCCGCTGCTGCGGGAACTGCTGGTCCTCCACGAGGTGAGGGTTGCTGGCGTGCTTTCCCCCTTGGGGAGCGGGCAGGGAGTACTGCAGGGACAACGTGAGTGATCAGAGTGAGAGCACAGCAGCTAGGCAGAATCCGCTCCAGACTCGGGCCCAGCGCCTCCCAATAAACTCCTAGCACAAATGGCCCAAAGCTCAGCGAGCCAAGTCTATGTAGGGGAGGAGCCCAAGGCCAAAGATCTGAGACCGCTGTTGCCTAGTAGACTTAGGTTGAGTAGTTCCAAAGTGAAGCAGGACTCAGATCAGAAATGGGGTGAACCTGCAGAGGTGGCAGCAAGCCCTGGAACAAGGTGCCATCTCTAGCAACATTTAGAAGTCTGGGTGTAGCAAGAGCTACTCCAATTTGGCCACAGCTACTGGATGTGAAGCAGGAATTGGCTCCACCCATGCTAAACAGCAGGTCAGACTAAGTGATCCTGATAGTTTCCATAGGCTAGAGCTGGAAGAAAACTGCTGCAACAGCAGCAAGACAAGCCCCTAGTTGCTTCGCAGGTGCCATTTGAAACAACCCCTGCTGCCCCAAGCTCACTGCCCAGAGGCCGGCACTCTCCCCTCTTGCTGCTGCGCTCGTTAGGCTGCGTCACAACAGCAGGGCAGCTCCTGTCCCCATGACGACTGCTTACCCGAAGCCCCCGTGGGTTCAGGACTTTTGGGTTGCGAGAGAAATGCATGTGCAGGCTGCCGTCATCACTCACGCTCACGGCAACCTTCTTCAGAGTCTTGTTGCCACAGTGTGGGCAGAAGACCTTGGTCATGTCGGATGTTGTCCTGGGAGACAAAGGGAGGGGGAATAGGTCCGCATCAGAGGCAGATCCACCCTGAAGGAGTCTCCACCAACACGATCAAGCTTCCGGCCGGTCTAGACTCCAGGGCTGAGCTACATTAGGAGAGAACGAACCGCTCCATCTATGCACAGGCGCAGGAAGAGGACGGTGCATTCGCTTAAGTGGCCAGGAATGAAAAGTAAGTGACTTGTTAGCCCAGAAGATAAGCCACTTTCTTCAGCGCCAACTTAACCCAGCTGGCACTGATCCACAACCCCCTCCCCACCTGGGCCAGGTTACGTCCCTGCTCTGGTACCTGCCCCCGAGCCTTTGCTGCTAGAGCTGAGAAGCTTGGAAAACCTTCACGGCTCTTCTGCCTGGGGAGGGGACTGCAGTGAGCCCGGGAGCGAAGACACAGAGCACGACAGCCCCCAGGCTCCTCCCTGCCAGGGGCACCGGGCTCCTGGGGCCAGTTCAGTGCTCGTGACACGTACTTGAAGCAGCCGTGACAGCGCAGGACGTAGTTTCTGGCCTGGCGGATCAGCATCCCATTCACTGCCAGCACGTGGAGACCCATCTGGAGCAAAACGTTCTGCAAGAAGAAAGGAGAACCGGGGGGAATGCCCTCCGAGGGGCTGAGAACACCGGTACCGCGGCCTCGAGAAGGAACGGAGTAAACCCCTGCCTTGTGCTGCATGGAGAAAGACCTTCTTGGATACCACAGGAGCAGTTACGGAATAGCTACGCTGGCCAGGCCTGGAGGGCTGGTCAGGGAATGGCACTGCTGCTGCTCCTCACAGGTACAGCCACACACGCAGACCAGTGGTGCTCAGTCTTTTCAGGCTCAAGGCATTCCTCAGACACCACCAGCTCTTAGTTTTCAGGTGATTTCTGCTTATAAAAAATACTCAGAGAGACCACAGCAGGGCAGAATGGGTTAAAACACTCCAGGTTCCTGCGTGAGAGCTCTGGGTTTAATCTTGCGCATCACGTTCGCACACCCAACAGCACTAGCACGGCCTGGCATGCTTGTGCCCCCCCAGAAAGGATCTCAAGGCAGCTCAGGATACCAGGGGACCCTGGTTGAGAATCGCTACTTTAAATCGATGCTGCCTGCACCCCGGCTCTGCGCGTGCCTTGTGGCCCCGGCAGGCAGAGTCAGGGCTGGCAGGGCCTTAGCTCTTTGATTGCTATTTTTTTTTTTAACTGCTGGAGGGTGGTGGAATTTGGCATCTTAAGCAGCACCGGGCATCATTAGCTCTGTTTTAATGAAGCGCCAGGACCCTTAATTAGCCTCTTGCCCGTTAAACTGGCGATCTTATTCCTACTTTTTGCCTCGGCTAGTTTTGAGTTCCTCACCCACGCCACTTGCTCCGAGACGCCCAGCTTTTTGGAAGTCCCTATCCCCAACCCCACAAGACTCAACTTCCCTTCCCTTTGAAAAAGACCCGGTGGTTTTATCCCAAATCACATGTGCTTACCTGCATAGCGAAGTCGGTGGTGAGGCACCCAACTTGCACGTCCACGGGAGGAGCATCGCAGCGCCCCACGTCCTGCTGGATCTGCTTGATGTTGCTGGGGGTGATCCAGTCCTTGTCGTCATCGCTGTCCTCTTCGCTGTCCTCCTCGGAGGCACTTTGCTCCTCGTCCGCAGCAGCGGAAACCGGATCGGCTTTCTGGGGGGCGAGAGAGACCCCGTCGGCCGTAGCCACGCAGGCCCCGCGCCGGCGGGACAAGGAGCAGAGCGAGCGGCAGGCGGGCGGGGGCAGCGCTCTGTTGCTCACCAGCAGCTCCTGCAGGTCCTCCTCGATGCTGGGCAGGGGGTTCCTCCAGTACAGGAAGGAGCTGAACTCGGGGCTCTCGCACGGGCAACCCTCCGAGACGGAGGAAGGCGCCTCTTCCTCCGGGCGCGCGCGCTAGGTTTGCACGAGTTAAAGGACGTTACCGGGCAGCGCCTCCCTGCCCCGCGCGGAGCGGGTCGGAGGCCGCGGGGGCCGGCGCAGCCACGCTCGGGCGAGTTACCTTGGACGGCAGGTGAAACCCAGCGACGTGCACGGGGGCCTCCGGGTGCCGGATGCTGCAGCTCAGCCTTACCTGCGGGGCGGGAGCAGCGGGGTTGCGGCCGCTCCTCCGCCCCTGCCCCTGCCCCTGGGCAGCACCCCGGTCTCTGCCCCCCCCGCCCCCGTACCTGGTGCCGGGGCTCGGCCCGCAGGTGCGCGACGCCGCCGGTCTCGGCCTGCAGCTCATAGGTGAGCGCCAGCACCTGCAGGTCGGCGCGGGACAGCGACGGGAAGTCGCCCGTCTTCTTGGAGAACTCGGTCACTGCGGGGAGGGGCCGGGGTCAGGGGTCGTCTGGGTGAGGGGGCGGGGGTCCGAGCCGGGGGGGCAGCACTCACCCAGGCGCACGTGCTCGGGCCGCGGCTGGCGGAAGAGAAGCGGGACGGGCAGGGCCGCTAGACGCCGCCGCGCCGCGCGGTCGCGGATCTCGCCTAGCACCTCGTGCACCGTGTACACGTGGCGGCCGATGTCCTGCAGGGAGGCGCCGTCAGTCCCGTCCCGGCCCGGCCCCGACCCCCACCCCCCGGCCCGGCGCTACCTGCAGCGGCGCGGCCCGCAGGAAGGCTCCCGCGTCCACCACCACGTGCTCCACCGCCGCCATCTTGGCTCCGCCCTGCGGCATGCCGGGAGTCGTAGTCTGGCGGGCGGCGAAGGGGAGGGTGCCGCGCGGGGCACGCCGGGATCGCTATCGCTCCTCCCCAGCCGACCGTCGGGTCAGGTGACCTGCCGGCGTCACATGACCGCCGCGCGCCGAGCCGGAAGTGCTGCGCCGCCGTTGCCGGTAACCGCGGAGCGGGGGGAGGAGGTGGCTGTTGGCGGTTGCCCGGGGAACGGCTGTGCGGTCCGGCGCGGGTTTCCCAGTCCTTCCCCTCAGGTGGCGGGCGGGTCTGTGCGTGTCCGGCCTGGGGCGCGCGGGGGCCGGCCAGCACGCCCCGAAGCTGGTGCAAGTCGGGCCCGGGGCGGGGATGTGCTGCGGGGCGTGGGCACGGAGCCGGGCCTCCCCGCCCCGCGGTGCTGCGGCCCGGAGGTGGGTGGCTGGGGCGGGGAGGCCCCCCACAGCCCTGGGGCTTTGTGCCCCCCGCGCTGGGTAGCGACGCCACCTGCCCGCCCCTCACTGCCGGGGCTAGGGGGCGGTCGGCGTTTGCGACAGGAAAGGAGGCTCCGTGCCCGTGTCCGGAGGAGGGCCCTGGCACCTGGCTCGCGGGCCCGGTGCTGCCGCCTGCTGCGAGGTGCTGAACGGCTCAGGACAGCAGCCTCTGCGCCACTTGCTGTGTCTGGCCCCCAGCTCGTCGCCAGGCGTCCTGCCCGCCCCGTCTCGCCCGTGCTCGGGAGCGAGTGCCGCTCGCCTAGAGCATGCCCTTCTCCAGGGAGGGGAGGGGTGGTGTGGAGGGCATTGGCTCCGGCTTCTTGCATGATCCCTTGGCAGGAGCAACGCAGGACACCTGTGCCCGTGATGGCTCTGCCCAGCCTGGGGCTGCCTCCAGGCTGCGGCCTTCGCCCCACAGGGACTTGGGGCCCAGAGTCGTGCTGCTGCCACAGTTTGGCTGAGGTCCAGGGCCTTCATCTCGCGCTCGAGGCTGTTTGGGGTTTGTGAGCTGGGTGCCTGCGCCCACCTCCCTCCTGGCTCCTAGCTGGGATGGCTCGTGCCAAGCATGTGCAGCACGATGTGCTGGCAGAGCTGTGGCCAGCAGGGAGAGGGCAGCAGAGCTCGCCTCACATGCCAGCCTTGTGGGGGGAGCAGTTTTTCTGGCCCTTTTCTGCTGCCAGGGTGTTTAGCCCGTGCCCCCCACCCTGGCCCTCCATGGCAGGGGTCTCGCCCATTCCCTCCCACTCCCCCTCTGAAGCTCATGGTGTGGGGCGGGCAAGTGCCAGCTGTTCTGTTTGGTGCCTGACTTGGGTTTGTGAGCACTGCCCTACATGCCATGCACCTTGGCCCCTGCGCACCCAGCTCCTTGCCGTCATTACACCTGCAGCTAAAGGGGCTGCCAGCCAGCGTAACTTCCTGTATCAGACAAGGGACAAGGTCTGGCAGCCTAAGGCAGCTGGATCCTGATCTAGCTCCGCCCTCCCCACCTTGAGCTCTAGAAGCAGTCGCACCTGGTCAAACAGAGCAGCAGTACAAAAGCTGTGTGTAACCTGGGTCTCGATCTGTACCCAGCCCTGCTCTGGGAAACGGGGCGAGTGGCTTCTTCTGCTGCCACGGGGCTTGCAAGCATAAGCATGTGTGTCTGTGCGGAAGAGAGGTGAACAAGGTATGGAGTGGCAGGACCTGTTTCTGAGGGGCCCAGGTGCCTGTCACTGCTGCACGGGCCCTTCCTTGCCTTCCACATGCCGTATTTGTGCAGCGGGAAGGTGCAGCCAGCATCGCTGCTCAGCTGCCCCTTGCCCCTGAGCACTGAGGCAACTCCTCTTTTCTGGCCAGACAGCTGCGCTGGGGCAGCAGGGCCATGAGATTGATTGCTGGGTCTGTGCATTGTCCCAGGGCCCTGTTTCTTTGCAGTGCTGTCCCCGTGAGGTCCACTATGTTTTGCTCTCATGTGCTCAGCCTCTACCTCTTGCTGAGGGCTCCTTTATGACACCAAGTGGCCAGGCCTGTGGGGGTCGGCTGCAGCCCCTTGCACTGCTCCAGGCCTGTGGTTCAGTGCTGATTTCTGGCTGAGCCTCTGGCATCACTAGGGTCCTGTGGCTATCTGGTAGTGACTAGTCCCAGCCCCACTGGGGTGGTCTTCTCATCAAATGCAGCCTTGGGCTCCCCTGGCTCCTTGTGAACCTTTGCTCGTGTTGTGCCTGTCTTTGCTTTCCAGACCTGTGGTAATGACATGGCCTCCACCAGCTGCAGCAGGGCTGGGGCAGGGCTGCCCTGTGAGAAATCTCAGCTCTCGCTGAAAGGTGAGTGCAGGGCAGGGCGTGGGGAAAGGAGGAGCCCTGTCCAGGCTGGCACACCTTGTCTTCCATCCAAAGGCAGGGACGTTCCTCAGTCCTGTACTCCCTCCTGGTGCTTGGGAGGAGGTGTGATGGGGCGAAGGCTGACATAGCCCCAGGCACCAGCTGGACTCGGGGATTGCACAGCTAGGTCCTGAGAGGCACAGAGCCTTCCTGAGTCAGATTTAGCAGCTGCCTCTTGTTAGTGCCCCGATCCCAGCACCAGAGTGGGGCATGATTCCCTAGCCAGGGAGGGCTTGGCCAGAGGGAAGTTGGGGCCCCCAGGCTGTCCCTGGGAGGTGGCTGAGCTGTAGAAGGTGCCTCATGGGCTGGCTTGGGCGGGAGACCCAGGAAGAGCCTTGTGCTGAGCCTTCTGCTCTCCCCTCACTCCGCTTGGCAGCTAGGAGGTGGAGCCAGCGGTCGCTCCCTGAGGGCCGCCAGGGGGCTCCCGACACCTCTGGCTGCTCTCCTGGCTTCTGGCCTGCCCTGCTCTCGTTGCCCTTCCTGCACCCCACGGGCTGTAGCATGACACTGTCTTGCTACCGCAGAGGAGATGCCTCCTTTCTGGGCTCCCCGACACCTCGCTCTTCCCCCTGGGCTGGTGGCTGGAAGCCAGGTTCCTGCAACAGGGCTGGCTTCTCACTTTGGCCATTGCTATGAGGCACCTGGGCCTCCCTGGGCTGGGGCCAGCTGATGCGTTGCCCTGCAAGAGGCCCAGCAGTGCCATAAGCTCAGGGCACAAAGGCGAGCCTCACGCAGGAGCGGGGTAAGCTTGTGGAAAGGCAGCTCCAAAGGCCTGGTTTCCCTGTGCCCAGCCATGTGGCCTGGCTGGGGAGATTGGGTCTGCCCCCTCAGCACAGACACCCTGCGCTGGGCTCCTCCCAGCTGCCTCCGCTGATGGCGCCTATGGCACGTGGGGCTGGGGAGTGGGCTGGTGACAGACGGTGACCGCACCTCTCCTATCGGCCTAGTGGTGTCCATGAAGATGAAGTTGCCCACCCGCCAGTCCCGAATCAACAGTTATGTGGAAGTGACGGTGGATGGACTTTCCAGCGAGGCCAAGAGGACGGGGAAGCGGACTGGGAGCTCCGAGCTGCTCTGGAATGAGATCCTCATCCTGTAAGAGCCCCTGCTGCCTCCTGGGGCTGTAAGAAGGGGCGTGGGGCAGGGACAGGTACCTGGGGGAGAGCATTAGAAATCTCAGTTCCCAGGGGAGGGGGTTGTGCTGGGCAGGAAGGTTTGGGGCTAGCAGGAGGGGCTCTGGCTGCTTAATGTCCCTGTGACAGCCCTGATTTCTGGCTGTTTTGCCTGGCCTGTCTGGGACTTCCCTGCTGGCCACAGCACTGCTCAGTACCAGCGTGCAGAGGAGAAGCCAGCAGATGCTGATGGCTGTGCTTTTGGCTTCCCTATCAGGAATGTCACTTCCCAGAGTCTCCTGGATCTGAAGGTTTGGAGCTGCCACACCCGGAGGAATGAGCTGCTGGGCGTGGCCTCCATCAACCTAGCCATCCTGAAGAAGAGCAGCGGGAAACGTACGTACCAGCAGCCTGTTTTGCCCTGTCCCTGGCTCGAGAGGGCAGGGAAGAGGCTGTTGGGGGAGGTGGGGCCTCCTTGCCTGAGCTGGGCCTGGCAGTGCGGCACCCGCCTCTGAGGGGCGCTGCGCTCTTGTCAGCCACTGCTCCGTGGTCCTGCAGGATTTCCTGCCTCAGTAGGTGTGACACGGAGGAGGATTAGCTGGCTGGAACAGCTCCCTGCTGAAACTCTGGCCCCAGGAGAGAACAAGGCACCGTTGTGTGCGGCTGGGCAAGCCTGTCAGGAGTGCGGGGCTGGCATGTGATGGAAGCCATACCTTCATTAGCCAGGGTGCCGCTGCCTGTGCAGAAACACAAACCCCACTGCTATTTGCTGCCATTTGTGGTCACTAGTGTGTGGCTCAAGGCAGCAGCCGCTGCATAAAGACCTCCATTCAGGTCCCAGGCCTTGCTAGTGGCTGCGCAGGGCAGGAAAAGGCTTGTGCCGTCTCTTCCAAGCTAAGCTCTGCTGGTGTCAAAAGACAGACCAGGTACTGAGAGGGGAACGGGGCCTCTGGCCTCCCAGGGGGCTGGGGATTGGTGCCTGGGGCTGGGGTGAATCGCTTCCTTTGGCATCGCCCGTCACACAGTGGGAAACAGCCGTGGTGTCCCCAGCACGCTCCTTGGGAGTCGTGGCTGTGAGCTGGGACTGATACAGCCTCTGCCGTCTGGGCTGGGAGTAGGGTGGGGGTCACAGGGGCATTGCTGGGGGCAGATTCCTTAGTGTGTGGGCGTCTGCCCCTGCCATCCTCTGTTTCTTGGGGCCTTGGGGTTGCCTGTGGCCAGTTACTGAGGCCCTCCTTGCTCTAACATGGGGCAGGGATAGGGGGCTGGGTGTCAGCTCTTTGGGGGAAGTAGACTGCTGCCTTCTCCACTGCCTGTGGCCCTGACCCCACGTGTGCCTCGAGCTGTATGTCCTGGCCTGGGCTGCTCTGTCTGGCTGCTCCCAGGGCTGCCTGTCTCTGGGCTTGGTGGAGCACCGCGCGTGTGCTCCCGGTGCCGTGGCCTGCTCCTGCCCTACATGCACGCGTCCCTTTGCCGGGGCACAATCAGCCCTTTCATTAAGCTGCATCCCTGGGGGGCCACGTGGAAAATGAATGGAAAAGGCAACTGGCTGTTCTCACCCGCATGTTAGCACAGCCCAGAAGTGTGAGATGTTTCCCTGACATGGAGGGCGGGTTCTTAAAGTGGCAGCACAGCGCCCTGCAGGAGAGGTGCTGCCTGGGTGGGGAGCTCGCGCTCCTTGCCCTGCTGGGACCTCCACCCGCTCGTCTGGCCTGCTGGTGACGTGGGCGGCTTCATCAGAGCCTCATCTGCAGGTAGTGTGGCTGCTGTTCTGGGAACCCTGTGATGGCTGTGGGCTTGCTGGCCTCATGAGAGGCTTGCTTCCTGGGTTTGTGGGGGGGCAGAGGCTTGGGCCTGAATGCACTTGCTGCTGGGACAGTGGGCAGGCTCCTCCCTGATGGGAGTTTTCCTGTGGGGCACAACATCCCTCTGAGGCCTCCCCTGCACACAGCATTGCCCTGGCCTGGCTGAGATAGCTGGAGGGTGAGGCCTGTGGCAGGGGTGGCAGGCACCTGCCCGGTGGCGGGGTGGGTGCAGAGCTGTGATACAGCTTCTCTCAGGTAGTCAGCATGAGCTGACAACCTCAGCCCCGCTTTGCTGTGGTCTCCGACAGGCTGGGCAGCCTCAGCAATGGCCCTGAGAGTATCCAGGGGCTCTGCTTGCTAGGGCTGTGCAAAATTTCCATCCTCGTGCTGAGTGTGGTGTGCTGCAGCCTCCTAGGAGAAGGACCCTGGGTTTCTGAGGAGCCCAGGTTGTGGGGAAAGGGCTCCACAGTGCGTCTGCCAGGGCTCGGTGCTCAGGCCAGCCTGAGTCAAGGAGCCAGGCTGAGAGGAACAAGTTCCCGAAGCCAGTGCCTGCTCCAAGGGGCAAAGCCACATTTTCCAGTCTTCCTTCTCTCCCCATTCCCTTGGCAGGCTTCTCTGAACCTCCCTGCTCAGCCTCTGCTATGGCCAGGCGGTGCCCTCGGTACTCTGGGTGGGGGTGGGGAGCTGCCTAGGAAGGCAGTGAGTTGGGTAAAAATAGGTTTAATCATGGAAAACAAGCTGCAGCCTTCTGCGGAGCTGCTCCCAGGGCTCCATTAAAACAGCTAATTTACAATGGCGCAACCCCTGCCCCGGGCCCCCGTGCTGCTGCTGCTGCCTGCCAGAGAAGGGGCTCTTTGTTCAGAAGCTGCCTGGGCAGGAGGAGGGTCCCTGTGTGGCCCTTCTGTATGCACACCGGTACTGGGCCATGCTGGTTTTGGCCGGTGCCTCCAGCACTCGTGCCACACAGAGCTATGGACAGCAAGGCAATTACTGGAGTGGCTCGGGTTGGCCAAGCTTCAGCAAAAGCTCCTGCTTTTACAACTGGCTGCTCAGGTTGCAAGTTATATCAACAGGCTCCTGTTTCCCGAGTGGCATCATGTGCGTGTGGGTTACAGCTCGCGCGAAGCCTGTGCTTTCCCTTCAACCCCACCTTAGGCAGGGTAGTTGGAGCCGCAGCTCTCGGGAGCTCTATCCAGAAGACAGCAGCACCCCAGACCGCGGGGAGCAGGGAGCCCCACACCACTTAGCAAGGGCACTGTTGGAAAGCAAAGTCAGAGCTCTGGGAAGGCACATATCCAGGCTGCCTGGCAAGGACTCCAAACACATTGGCTCTGGCACTGCTGGCATCGTGCTCCTACAGGCTGCTGGGCCAGACCAGCAGGTCACAGCGGAGGCTGGGCTGAGCCGGCTCTGTGCTGCCCTTCGAAGGTCACTGTGCTCTGGGAGTGCTGCGGAGCTGACAGCAGCTGGGACTAGGCCGTTAGGGCAGGACTAGATACCTGCCTTTGGCTGCATCTGCTTGGTAGAGCACAGGAGCAAGGAGGCTTCCTTTTCTCTGCTTCAGGGCCCAGTCCCTTGGTCCCTCCCATAGCTGTTCATCAGGGAGCTGGCATCTACTTGAAGCCTGTGGGCTTGCCGCCCCCAACAGTGGGTCAGTGCACAGAGGCATGGGGAGGGGAGAGGGGCTGCGCAGCAGAAGTTGAGGTGAGGGGGGGCAGGTGCCATCTGTGACTTCTCCAGCAGGACTCACCCAGCACAGCCTGACATGCTTTCCCACTTCCACCTGATCAGCCTTTCTGGCCCTCGGGCTGAAGGATGGAGGCTGGAGCAGCCCTGGCATCAGAGGCTGGTGACACAGCTTGCTGCTGGCCCTGAGAATGAAGGCTCTCCCTCTCGAGTCACTTTGTGGGTGAGAGCCCAGCTTCCCACTGTCTGCCCAGCACTGCAGAGCCCCTCGTCCTCCTTTCTTCCAGATGGTTATAGGGTCTGAGCTGCCCTGGCTTCCATCCTCCAAGCAGGGGCCAGGCTGCTGGCTGGGCAGCAAAGCCCATTGGGTGATGGCTGCCAGCCACTGCCACGGCTGTGTCTGAGCTGAGTCTGACCTTGCGTCCAGTGGAAATGCAGAGGGTAGGACCCTCTGCACGGAAAGGCCCTGTCTGAAGCTCCCTCAGTCCGCATGTGAGCTGGCCTGGGCCATCCCTCTGCAGAGAAGAGGTCCTCGGCTGGAGCTGCTCCCCCCGCTTCTAAGTGGAACGTGTTGTGATGCTCATGCCAAGGAGTTGTGTCAGACGCGTGCTGTCACCAGTGCTCCCTGTGGCTCCTGGCTCAGCCCAGAGCCTCTGTTGTGGCTTCTGGTACTAGCCCTGCTCCGGGGACCTGTAAATCCACTTAATGGTCTGGATGGGAATTCCAGACAGCCCGTGCTAAATGAGAGCAGTGATGTCACATGCAGGGCACCCGCAGCCACTGAACTGAGGCCGTATTCAGGCCCAAGTAGCCCCCGGCCCCTTCCCAGAGTAGCAACCCCATGTGGCTCTGGCTCTGGCTCCGGCTGCTTGCTGGGACACAGGCGGGCTTTGTGCACGGCCGGTCGGGGACCCTCTGTTGGCGTAGCAGCAAGGTCCCTTTGTGCGTTCCGCGTGCTGGGAGGGGACGCTGACTGGAAGGTTCTGCCAGTGTTTATTTTCCTTAAGCAAGCGATTTGGAGATGCTTCGCCTTGGCTACTGAGCCACCTTCAGCGGCTTCGCAGTGTGGGCCTGTGCGGCCCCCATCAGAGAGCGACTGCCTGCAGCCGACGGGACAGAGCCCCAGTGTTTGGTGGGACAGGGCTTCCTGAGGGCTGGCAGAGGCAGGAGAAGCCAGGGACAAGCAGACTTCTGCTCGCTGCAGCATCCTGTGAGCTTAAGAGCATAGGGAGGTGCATCGGGGTTCACCCCTTTGTGCAGATAGAGGGTGAGGCCAGACACATCACTTGCCTGGAGTCCCACGGGGGACGGGGGCCAGTGATGGGGCCTGGGGGAGCTTGAAGTCTTTTGACAGTGGCTGAACAGTACGTCACATGTGGGAGACTGCTGTGGGACAGACTTCTGTTGGGCCTGGTGGTCTCCAGTCCCCTGGGGCCAGCTGCACAGTAAGCAGGGTCTTGCTTCTCCCTACCTTGAGCAGCCCAGGGTTGGACCTGGCACAGGGGTCAGGAGAAACTGGCTGCCAGCCTAAGGCCAGGATGCCCAGCTCTGTGCAGCTGTGGCTTTCCTGCCTGACAGTGACATGCTTTCCAGCTGGGAGCAGACGCTGGCCTCACTGGAGACGGATGTCCGTGGAGAGCCCAGGGCCATCCATGCTTTCCCCTGCCAGCGGGATACTGCTGTTCAGGGCAGGCGAAACTGGGCGGAGAGCTGCCAGGTCAAAGGAACCGAGCTGCCCTAGCTCCCATGGCAGTCCATGGGAGCCCTGGCCCAGGCTGTGCCGTGCCTCTGGGGCTAGGGTCAGCTCACCCCCGGGCTTGGCCCAGCTGGTGCCAGTGATGGGCCTGATCATCCTGTCATTGGACAACTGGGAGACTGGCAAACCTGCTGCAGCCCCATGCTGTTCCTATCTAGGGCTTATTGCCTCTCCTGAGTGCTGGGCTGAGCTCTGTCACTTCCCACTTGCCCCCTTCCCCTCCCTTGCTTCCAGTTTGGTGTCACCTGCAGGTTTCATGGGGACCTCAGCAGTCCCCAGAATGCCTCAAAGCAGCCACTCCGCAGCCGTGGTGTGGGCAGATCCAGGTGGCACAGGAGAGGGCAAATGCTGCTGCTGCCATTATTACCACACCTGGCACCCTAGAGTGCCATACAGGGCAGTGCTTGACCTTGTGTGTGACACTGGCTGGCAGAGCCGTGAGTGGTCCCTTGCTGACAGGGAGGCAGCGTAAATGGGCTGCAGGGGTCCTGAGCATAACATCCGCATTGGGGAGCATGGCAGGGGGGCAGGGAGCGTCCAGCCTGGGAGCAGTATGCAGCAGAAAGCCAAGGACGTGAGCAAGTTAGGAGAAGGGGAGCTACAAGTATGCCTGGGTGTGCCAGCCAGCCTGCTTCTGGCCCCCATCACAGCACTGCAGCCTCAGCTGCATGCATGCATGCATGTGTATGTGGGTGCCCCACCCCGCTTAGTGGGCCCTGGCCCAACCCCAGCCTGGTGGCTGCTGCAGGGGGAGGCTGGCTGCTAGAGCAGAGCAGGCACGTCACTGAGTCATGCGTGCGCAGTACAAATATTATCTGAGTGAACTCGTCGGGAAGTGTCTGGGCCAGAGTCCCAGGCCAGGTCAGCCACATCCCTCCGGCTGAATCAAGGCAGTTGTGTTCGTGTTTCACCATTGTGGGCACTTGGCAATGAGCAGTTGCCTTGCCCGGGGTTAGGGATGCTAGTCCGGCTCCTGGCCAGCTTCGTGGTTTGGCCAGGGCCGTGCAAGAGACTCTGGGCAGGCAGCAAGAGGGCCTCAGGCTGGGCAGTGCACAGCCCCTGCTCCGCCCTTTGCTCACGCAGGGATCGTGCTGCTCTCTGCTGTGTGGGTGCTGCAGCAAGCTGGCTCGTGGCCTGGAGGGCGCTGGGAGAGGCTGCCGGCCTCTGCTCTTGTCATGGAGCGGTTCTCAGAGATGCCCAGCCTCGCCACGCTGATGGCTGACATTCGCCTTCCCGGGCCCACCCGGTGCCACTCTGGCTGTATGGGGGAGAAGAGTAGAGCTGTGTTCACAGGACAAAGCTGAGGTGGTCACATTATACAAGCCTCAAGCTGCTGAGCACCCTGAGGGCCGGTACAGAGGGTGTGCAGGCAGTGTGGAGCCCCTCACATGCCAGGCACATTTTGCCAGCCTGCCCTTGGGGCTGGTTCCTGGCTAGGCCCAACTCAGCAGATCCTATTAGTGCCTGGCACAGGGCTCTCTTGCCTTCCTCGTCCAGGATATCTGCCTTGTGCTGGTGCAGCACAGGTCATGTCATGGCTCCACGTAGACCACGCACCTCGAATGGGGGGTCAGTTCCCTGCTGCCCTCTGGAGAGGGCGAGTCCCCCAGGTTTCCAAGAGCAGGCCAGGTAGCTGGCTGTCTAGGATGGGCCAGGAGCAATCCTGTGTCTGCAGGGGTTGGGCTGGAGGCCCTGTCCAGCCTGCAGCAGTTCTGTGAAGAAGCCGTGGCCAGTGGGAGTGGCTTCCTGGGCAGTTGGGCACGCTGGCTGGGGCCGCATGGGGTGGCAGCCTGTGCTGCTGCTGCTGCTGATCCTGGTGCTGCAGATGCCTGGGCAGGTGACTTCCTTCTTGAGCCGTGCAGGGAGAGGCCACAGGCCACGGGTGGGGACTGGAACCCCTTGGCAGTGGTTGTGCCCCCTAAGTGACAAGTTACCTCCAGTGGCAAGTCCAGCTCAGTCTCTTCCTCTGTGTCCCTCTGTCTCCCACAGTAGAGAACACGCAGCTGATCCTGAACCTGCAGACGGAGAACAAAGGCAGCGTTGTCTGTGGTGGAGAGCTGACGATTTTCCTGGACGGGCCGACTGTTGATCTGGGAAGCCTGCCTAATGGCAGTGCCGTGACAGAGGGTGAGTACCGCCCATCTCCACCAGCAGGCCGCAGCTCGGAGCACGAGGTGGCAAATGCCAGGGGACAAGGCTGCCAGGCTGAGACGGCAGCTTGGAGGACCTGCCAGCACATCCCAAAGCGCAGGACCTGTATCCTCTTCCAGAGAAGGCTCCTGTCCTGGCCTGCATGCCCACAGGACTCAGCCCAGCTGCTGGGAAGTCTTCCAGGGTCTCCTGGGGAGGGCAGCTCCAGGCCTACCACGGATGTGAGGGCATAGGTGTCCTTGGGGCCCTTTGCCCACAGCAAGTCATGACCTGGAGTCTCCCTGTGCTAGAAAGGTGCAGAGTGAGGACAGGTGAAGGGACCCTGGCTGAGAAGCCTTGCAAGGGGACAAGTGGAAGGGATCGGACATTGGACAGTGTTTCTGGCCTGGGATGAGGAGGTTAGGGGTGGACTCCCCACGCCCTGACTTGGAGGGTGTTTGCCTGTTGCTTGTGCTGGGTTCAGATCCATAGCAAGTTGTGGGTGCCAGCACACCCAAGGGCCCAGCATCCTCAGCGCGTGGAAGGGTTCTGCAGGCCAGGAGTGGAGCCACATGTATGGGAAGCCGAAAACTAGTCAGGGTCTCAGGAGCTGTCATGGCATGAGTTCCTTGAGGCCTGGCAGAGCTGCATGGTGGGATGTATCCCAATGCACACCTGTGTTCCTGTAGGCCCTGTGCCCTTTGGCAGGTCTTGTCCTTGAGTTCCCTGTGCAGAGGCCCCAGGAGAGCAGGGGACACTTGCTCATTGGTGCTTTCCCTTGGACAGGCAGCAGCTGTCACACCTGCCATGGGTCCTTACCTGCTGGCCTGTCTGCATTGATATAGCACTTGTCTGCTTTCTCGTCTCTTTCCCCTTTAATTGCCCAGGGTCCCAGCTGCCCGGACAGGACTCCAGCAGCACTGTGGCAGCTGCAGAAAGCTGCCACCAGCCCCTCAGCACCAAATGCTTTGGCAGCAAGTCCAGGTAAGGGCCTGGGCAATGTGTGCTACTAACCCATGGATGGGGCAGCTGGGGGTGTCCTGCAGGAGTTTGCAGTGGAGATGTTGGAAGGCTTGGGGCAGGGGCCTGTCCGGTGGGGATGGCTGCCCTGAGGCGAGAGATGGGCTTCATGTACCTGGCCTCTCAGGAGGCATAGGCAGGACTGAGTCAGCCTTTCCCAAGCACAGCGCAGGCACCTCCCTACAGCAGTGAGGCATGTGGAACCCCCAACACGTACCTGTCTTTACCCCAGCTGGCCAAACACCTGAGGACCGTGGGCAACCCTTGCGGGTCAGTTGTGTGCTTGGCATTTGGGCCTGGGGCAGAGGTGACGTGATTCCACCGAGATCCTGACCACTTGTTAGCAGCTCAGGCCCAGGTCATTCTGGGCCTCATTCTGCAGGGGTCACAATCCGAGTGTGCCAGATCCTGAGCAGTGCTTGGCTAGGAGGCCTCCGCCGTGGCTGCAGCCACCTTGGCTGGTGGAATGCTCCCCGCAGGGCACTGGGGCTGGCTGTGCTGTGACTTGTGGCAGAGGGTCCAGTGACTCATGTCAGGCACTAGAGATCCCACAGCACTTCTTGCTGGGTGGGCATGCATCTGCCTGCATCCAAGTTTAGGTATCTGTGTTCTGCTATCTCTGAAATTCAGTCCTCACTGAGCATAGGTGGACTTCTGCATGCTGTAAAACAGCTGCTGTGGCTGCTGTTTCGGTGGCGAGAGCGAGCCCTACACACACACGAGGGAAGTTTGGGAAAGGCTTCATTGCCATATAGAGCAGGATTTATTTCCATAGGCTCAGTGAGTGCTGAAGACCTCCCTGAAAGGCTGGATGGAAAGAAAAGGGTTACTTGTCCCCCCCCAACCAGCTCTTTCTGCCTGGCCTTCTCGAGGGAAATTGCTGGGTCTTTTTCTTCCCAGCACAAGCGGTGCCCTGGGAGCTGCTGTTAAACTTGGGCTTGGGGCGTGAAATTCCACAGTCAACTGTGCAAAGAGAAAATAAAGAGGCAGTCATTTGTGCTGGGGGAGAGGCTGCGAGAGGCAGGCATTGTGTGAGGGGGGCTGTGCTGACCGTGGGGCAGTCCCGAGAGGCAGGCATTGTGTGAGGGGGGCTGTGCTGACCGTGGGGCAGTCCCGTCCCTAGTTCTGCTCCCTGCAGCTGGCCAGCTTTCAGCACCTGGGTCTGGGTGTGAGCACGCAGGATTTCGCTCCCTCACCCTGGTGCTTGGGGGAGCAGCACAGGTTTAGTGTTGCTGCTTTGCTGGGGCTGAGGCCTTGCTCCCTGGCTAGCGATGGCTTCTGGGGACACTTGGAGCCAGCGCCACTGGGTTGCTTTTCTCCCTGCCTCTGGTTATCCTATGTAGCCCTGGACATGCCCCCAGCACTTCGCATGTGGCTCTGCAGCCCTCCCAGCCCCAGAGGCTGGCAGCGAGGCAGCAGACAAAGCCTGCCAGACATCTGGGTCACAGGTGTGTGGTGCAGGGGTAGCGGGAGATGATAGCAGCAGATGATAGCAGAGCTCCTGGTGTCTGGAGAGTGCTCTGAGGAGAGCAGTGATGAGCACAGCTGGGAGGCTTAGAGACTGCAGGCCGGTGCAGGGCTAGGGTGTCCAGCAGCAGTCTGTTCGCTCTAGTGAAGCACCCATGTCCCCAGCACATGGCTGTCCTTTAGGAAAGAGTTCCTGGCCTTGCCCCATGCGCACCCACTCTGCCCAAGGGCAGGGGAGGCTGGCGCTGCTCTGTGCCCAAGGCTCTGTGCTGCCCCTCCCTGTCCTGCAAGCAGGGGCCAGTGCTGGGCACAGAGCGCTTGGCCTTGCTGCCTCACATGGACCAGAGGAATTTCTCAGCTCCGCATTCCTGGCCCTGAGGTGTGGCACTGGGGCTGTGCCTCCTGCGCTCCACTAGTGCCCTGGCATGGGCTCCCTAGCACTGCTCCTGCCTGCCCAGAGCCGGGTCTGCCATCTGCCCTTGCTCTTCCCAGCTGCCCTGCGGGTGGCCTCTGGGCTGGGTGAAGGCCATGGCCCCTGCCCCGAGGCCATGGAGGAGCCCCCTCTGTCTGACTCTGAGCACAGAGACGATTAGGTTAGGCAGGACCCCAAGGAATGGGGTTTGGGACTGGGCCTCAAGACCTGCCAGGTAGATGAGGCTGGGGTTCTCCTCCCGGCTGGTTCTCCTGTGTGGGGAGAGTGGGCTGGTGAGTGTGCCTTGTGAAGCCGGGGGCTGGCACCTGCCATGGCTCCCAGCACTGGTGGGCTGCCTGAAAGCACTGCGACTTCTGCCAGCCTTGTCCCCACTCCCGCCCCATGGGTGGCTAGCAAGGCTCCGAGAGCCCGTTCCCAGCACTGCTCAGCCTTGTTTTTTCCCTGCTCCTATTTTAAGTGCTTGTTCCCAGCCCAGTCCTTGTCACGTGGCTCCACTGGGTGTGTTTCCACGCTGCTATTAAAAGACAATGCCCAGATGGGAGCGTCTGTGGGAGGGCCAGGCTGGTAGCCTGGCTAATTTGGGCCTGGTGACCCTGTGTGGCCGGCTGGCAGCCGGAAAACATCCTGTTTTGGTTTCTAAAAACTCTCCAGGCAGCTTTTAGCTGCTCCGCACAGAGCAGGGTGGAGATAAGAGCCCATCGTGTGCCTGAGCATCTCTACTCCGGGGGGGGAGGGTGCGGGCTGCCCATCTGGGGTCAGAGCTCTGTCCTAGCGGTTTCTGCTCAGTGAAGCTGAGCCTCAGAGGTGTTCAGTGGCCTTTGCTCCAGCAGGCCTGAGCTTCCTTGGCCTGCTGAGCTGTCCTGCCAGCCCTTTGCAGGCTGTGGGCAGCTGAGAAGGTGGGGACGAGGTGTGCAAGGGCCCCCGGGGTGAGGACTGACTACTGAGGCCAGGGAGGGGCAGACTCCTGGCTCCCCTGCCCTCAGGGCCAGGCCACCCTCAGCCCCGCGCACAGCTGCTGAGAGCAGAGCGCCCGGCTGTCCCCAGGGGCTTGTCCCAGCTCTGCGGGTGTGGCACGATTGATGTTCTGGCCCTGTTGCTGCCAAGCTGCCGCCCTGCTTGGCCGAGCCCGGAGACCTCTGGACACATGGAGAGTTTTGCCCTTTTAAGGGGAATTGCTTGGCTAGAATAAACCGGCCCTTTATCACTCCTCTGCCCTTCCCCCCTCCCTGCCCTCTGCTGCCAGCATCTCCGGCCTGAGCAGGCTGAGCTGCCCCGTAGCACTGGTCTGAGGGCTGGGGCCGAGGCCTGGCTGCTCCGTCCCGTGCCAGCACAGAGCAACGGTAACAACAGTCTACTGGAAACTGCTCTGAATGCAAGTCCATGTGCGCAGGTCGGCATCCCTGTCCCTTCCCCAGCCCCAGGAGCAGACCTGCCTGTGCAGCCTTCAGGCTCCTGGCGGCACTTCTCCTCGTCCCTGGCTCAGCTCCTGCCAGCCGCAGGTCCACCCCACTGCCCACCCTGTTTGTGCTTATGCTCCCTCCAGCAAGGACAGCTGGGCTCCATGGGGACCTTGGGGTCTAGTCAGCTCCAGGGAAAGGAGGTGATGGTCTTGTCCACCCTGCAGGTCCAGTGTGTCAGCAGTTACAGCCACAGCTGCCTCTCGGCTTGCACCATCAGCACAGCCCTGGGCTGAGACTGGCAGCTGTGGCATTTCGTAAGCCAGCGTCCCACTCTTGCCAGAGGCCGTTACTGGTACATGGTTTTTTCCCCAGAGCTAGCTCAGTCCAGACAGGGCCTCTAATCATGTTTGTGTAACCAGGGGCCAGGCCAGCCCTCTTCCCTCCAGTGAGGCATCCCAGACATCCCCAGTTGGTGACTGGTAGGTGAAGACTGGGAAACCCCTGGGCCGTGCCCCAAGGCGCCTCTTCCTCCAGGAAGGGCTGGTGTCAGGGGGGCCATGCAGGCATACATGACTGCAGAGCAGCGGGTCTGTCAGAGGGCAGGGTTGGGTTGCTTCACAAAGGGGACGGTGGGCAGTTAGGATCTGCCAGAATAGAGGGGCTGGCAGGGTGCATCTGGGGGAGAAAGCCTGGGGACTAAGCACAGCCCCTGGGCAAGAGGGGTGAGGAGCTGCCATCCTAGGCCAGGTGCCCCTCTCACCCACTGCACTGCATGCCTCTACCCACATACAGGACGCACAGACACACAGCGGGAGCAGCCAGGCAGAATGCGGGGAACGGTGAGGCCAGCCCCAGCACCAGGACATGGCATCGGCAGCAAGCCAAGATCCAGGGCCACGGCAGCACAGTGAATGGCACAGGTGAGATGTCCCGCTGGTGAGATGTCCTGAGCAGAGGGCAGCCGGCGAGTGGTGCTCGGGGCACCGGTGAGTGTAGAGGCACTTGCTGCATCCAGCTTTCTCTGCACCATGTAGTGCAGCCCATGGCTGCCCTTGTTTCATAGGGGGTGTTCCATGAAGACCAGTTCCCAGCATGCAATGCTGCTTCTGCATCCAAATAACCAGTCCACAGCCCATGCTGGAACCCACACTCTCCCCAGGCTGCTCTTGTCACATCAGGTGGCAAAGCTCCTCTCCCCACCAGCACCTTGCTGGGTTGTGCGCCACTTGGGCACAGCCTGTCCCTGTAAGTGTCACGGTTGTGGACCAGCCAGGCTCGCTGCCACAGAATGGGCCGTGGACCACCTCAGGTCCTGGCCTTGGAGCCTGGTGACACCCAGCATCTGGCTTCTGGGCTGAAACTTCATGCAGACACAGTGGGCGCACCTCCTGCCCACCATTGTGTGTGTGTGTGTGTGTGAGCACCAAGGCTGCCCATGCCCACCCTTCTGCTCAGAGGCAGAGCCCAGGCTGGTAGAGGCTCGCAGGGCTGCAACATTCCCATGTTGAAAAGGGGCCTGAGGCTGTATGTGGATAGGAGCAGGCAGGCAACATCCTGCTAGTGGATGTGCTGCTGCCTCTCTCCTCCCTTCAGCTGCCTCTCTTGGTCCGTGTGGCCTCCCTGCCCTGTTCAGTGGAATCTAGTGCCAGATGGCTGTATCAGGGCTGGGCAGTGTGCTGAGCCAGCTCTTCTCAGGCCCATGGCACCTCCTGATGTGTACCAGCGCATTTTTGACATTTCCGCCCTTTGCCTGAATTCACCTGGGCTGTGGGGAGGGGGAGTGCTGGAGAGGGAGTGCCATCATCCCTCTACAGCCCCTCTCCAGTGACATGTCCATCCCACTTGGCCTGCGGATATGGGGTGCAGGCAGCAGCAGCAGGTCCTGGCTTGAGATTTTCCCCACCCCTGTGGCGCTGATGTCTCTCCCTTTGCAGAGGGCTGCAAGCTCCCTGAACATGGGGCTGTGAGAGTCCCAGTTTGGAGCTGGGGTTTCAGTAGCAGCAAGCCACCCCTTCCCTCCATGCTGATCTCTGCCCTCTGCCTTTCCAGTGAACGGCGACTCTGTAGGGGCCACCGACACCGAGGAGGAGCGGTCTGCAGCGGGCACAGCCTCCCCACCAGCAGTGGCATTGAGTGTGACAGCCAGCTCCACGGCAGCTGCCCTGCCTGCTGCAGCTGTGCCCGGGGAAGCAGAGGAGCCAGCCTCTGGCTCGGGCACGCAGCAGCCCCAGGAGGCCACGCAGGCCCTGGAGGCACTCCCACCTGGGTAAGTGGCTCTGTCGCAGGCCTTAGGCTCTCTTTCAGGGCAGCTGTGTCCAGAGGGTGGGACTCTGCTTTGCTTTGCAGGGTGATGGTGCTAGAGACCCCTGGCTCACTCAGAAAGGTGCTTTGGGCAAGATGGCCTGTGGGCCCCTCTCTGGAAGAGCCAGCTCTCGAGAGGCTAGTGAGGCGGGAGTCTGGGTCCGGCTCTTGGCAGCTTCCCAGAGCCAGCTCGGAGCAGTGCAGCCTGACAGCTGGGCCCTGCCTTTCCGAGGAGAGTTGTTGGGGAGTAGCACATCCTGCCTCTGTGCCAAGGCTAAATGAGATGACCCCTGAGGGCGCTTCCACCCTCCAGCCACAGAGCATGGAGAGGGTCTGAGAGCTGCTCCTTCCTTGCAGCTGCAGAGAACTGCACACACACGTCAGGTGCCAGGGGGGCGAGAGTGGAAAGCAACCAAGGTCGCTGGCTCCTGCTGCTGCTTTCAGGAGGAGCTGTCGGTCTTGGTCCATTCCCACATGATGCTGCCCCTGCTTCAGTGGCACAAAACAACCCTGTCCCTCTGAGCCATGTGGCTGAAGAATGGTTGTGCCATGGGGAGTAGGGACATGAGTCCCTTTCAGGCTCTCGGGGGGTGTCACAAAGGTGAGTTTGGTGGGGTCGGGAGAGGAGCGTGGAGCCCTGACAGACCCAGGGCAGGGTGGAGACGTGATACAGAACAATGGGGATCCCTGGACCCCCCCGAGACCGGAAGCTGGAAAAATTGTAAAGGAGCCCTTGGAGATGGGGGAATGCCTCGCTGCCCCGTCGGTGTAGAGCAGGGATGTCTGCACTGAGCTGGCCACCCTGGGCAGCAGAGAGGACCAGGGAGAGGCCTCCCTAGGATGCCTTGGCAGCACAGGGCCTGGCAAGAGTGCCAGGCAGCTCCTGGAGGCAGCGTCACCAGCTTCGCCGTGTTGCTGTACTAGAGAGTGCGTCAGAATTTGCTCTTCCTCCATGCGGAGTCCTCTGCTCCAGCTGGCTTGGAGTCCTGTCCCAGGCCACTGCCTTCCCTCCCTCCCTCCCTCCAGGTGCCAGTGAGGGCCCCGACTCCAAGCAGGGAACATGCAGGCCCCAGGGCAGGAATGCAGCTTTCTCACACCCTGTCCTGCCACAGTGGCTTTGCAGGGGCATCTGGGGGCAGGGCTGAGGAGAGGAGCCATGTTGCCGCGTGTGCTGTCCCCTGGTTAAAGCTGTATGACCGTCTCTGAGACTGGCTCTGCTCAGCGCCTGCCCCCCAGCCCCATGTGGCACTTCTCCTGGACTCCAAGCACCGCCGTTACTTTGGGGCATGAAGGCAAAGCAGCCAGAGGGGGTTGAAAGGGAAAATGGCCTCCCGCATTTCCTATGGAGCGAGCTGTTTATTTTCCTTTTGCAAAGCCAATGCCTGGAAGGTCAGGGCCTCCCTCGTGTGTCAGTCACAGGTAATTAGGGTTAACGGCTCAGTGTGCCTTTATGCAGGGTGTGTGAGGGTTACTGTTCTCGGGGCTTGGGCACTTCCTGTTTCCAGGCAGCTGGAAAAGTCCAGCACTCTGAAAAAGGTCTTTATTTCAGCTGGAGCGTGTGCCTCCCGCCGGACGGCCTCGTTCTCCTCCTGCCCCTGCCGGTCTCAGGTGGCAGCGGGCGTTGTCACTCCCGGCATGCGGGGGTAGCGCACGCTTCATGAATGGGATCTGTGGAGGCCTCTGCAAAGGGGCTGGGGGGTGCTGCACCCTTGCACCAACAGGCTGTCCAGCCACCCACCCCCATGCACTGCGGAGCCGGGCCAAGGATGGGGTTGTCAGCCAACCAGGCCCAGCAGTGGACCCCTCTTGGGGCAGAGGTGCACACCCAGCGCTGCTGCGGGAGGCGGCAAAGGCTCAGCTTCTCCATTTTTCCCCTTAGTCTGAGGGGCTATAGAGGCAGCTATGCTGCTTTTGGGGCTTTCCCCGTCCCCCTGCCAGCTAGAGGAGCAGCTGGGGTAGGAGATCGAAGTGCTCATTTGTGCCCATTACTCAAAACTTGCGCTGGGCTGGAGTGAGTCGCCTGCCCTGTACTCTTGAGCATGGAGCCCAGCACGTAACCTCCTGGTGCAGACTCTGGGTCAAGAGAGGCTGGCCTGGGTTTCGAGGGCATCGGTGGCCTGTTTCAGCTCCAGAGAAGAGGTAGAGCCCCCCCAGACCAAACCCAGCCTGATGCTTGGAGCCTCAGGCATACCTTAGTGGGGCAGGACAGCAGTGGAGGGGTGTCCAGCAGTTCCTGCTCTGCTGGTATGGCCCTGTGCACCACTGCTAACGACCCCAAAGCCCAGGGGTTTGAATTCCCATTGGAGGAAGCCTTCCCAGGTTTCCTTGGAGAGGTGCAATAAGTCTGGTCCTCCTCAGCAGCCCTGAGATGTCTCAGCTCTTCTCAGGCGTACCCTGGCAGATGCCCGAAGCCTGCCACACACGCAGCGCACAGGGAGGCTGGGTTCACGTGGGGATGCAGAGCTATTTATTCTGCCCTGATCGCTGTCTCCAAACATCTGCTCCAGATGTGGGGAGCACAAAGGAGTCTCACATCGGCCTGCGAGCTTGCTGGAGGATACTGGAAGGTGGTCTGACCCATTCACTGTCCAGCAGAGCCCAGAACCCTCCCCCCCAATCCACCTGGCCTCGCACGCAGACGTGTTTTCTTGAGACCTGTGTAAACGGAGCTAGAGCACGTGTGCGTGCGGGCCGAGAGCCGGGAAGTGGCCGTGCTGGAAGGTGGTGGGGCCGGGACTCCGTCTTGACACGCGGGTTCCCAGCCGGCTGATAGGGGCAGGGAAGGCAGCCGAAGTCACTGGCTTCTGCATCTGGTTCCTATCAGTGATGATCCCGCGCTGGGGACAGAGCACTCATTAACGCGGTGTGTGTACACGGCTCTGTCTCGCGCACACAAAGAGGCGCATTATGCTGTCTGGCAGGAGGCACGGGGCTGTGGTTTCTTACATAAGGCAGGGCGTTTTGTTTGGACGTCAGGGTTACCTCTGCGCTGCCATTTCACACCGGCCAGTGCTCCCTGCAGCCGCGGCCGCCTGCAACCATTTCCTGCTGCCAGAGCGGGGCTAGTGCTGGGGGCAGGCCCGGCACACCCCTCAGCCTCCCAGCGGTGAAGGGACTGGGAAGAACTGCTGCAGCCCAGGCACACAGCGGAGCACTGCTGGGTGCGTGGGGTGTCCACATCCCTCATGGGATGTGACTGAAGGCTGCACCCCTGGGCCTGAGCAGAACCCAGATGCTAGGCTCTTTGCAGCCGGGCTGTGACACTGTGGCACAGTACTTCGTTAGCGCGTCTTTCCCCTTTGCCACATTATTAACAGCTCATGCCAGAGCGGGGTGAAGCCAGTCGCATCCCCACTTCCCCAGTGCTGAGGTGGAGAAATAGCTGCATCTTGTGGGACAAGGAGCCTTCATTTGGCCAAAGCCCAGCCTAGAAGTCGGTGTTGAGAGATGAATGGGGCCTAGCTGCTTGGAGCAGGCAGATCTCAGGCTGCACCCAGGCTTGCCTTGGGCCATGTTCTGTTGAGGCCTCGGCATCGTGTGGCTTCCCAGCATCCTCTGCTTGCTGACCTGGGCACAAGGAGCACTCGTCTAGGAGATGCACTGAATCGCATCAGGCTCCAGGGAGGGGGTCCCTTTCCAAGCTCGGCCTGGCGGGCCTTGGGGACCAGCCCTGGAGTCTGAAGCTCTGGAGCACCTGATGAAGCGACCTAGGCAGGGACGAGTGTGACCCAAGGGCATGGCACTCAGGACTCTCTCCTTGGCCCTGTGGTGGATCGGACGGGACATGGGGAATGGTTGCCAGTGGTTCCAGCCCAGCTGCTGCGATGTGCGACTCATGACGGCAAGCCAAGGAGCTGATTGCGAGTGGAGCAGCACGCTGCTTTGCAGCTTACCATGGCACTGCCCAGCTGCACAGCACATGCCTGGTATGGGAGGCCCCGAACCTGTCTCTAGCACAAGCGTCTGAGTGGGGAAAGACCCTTTCTGGAGGGGAAATCCACCTTCACCCATTGCTGGGAGCTGTGCCATCAAAAGGACGTGTCTGGGTCAGCCAGGCCTCATGCCAGGGGTCCCAATACCTAGAGCTAGCTTGGCTCTGGTCTCCAGGTCCCCCTGGAATTGGGACCAGCCTGGGGGCACCAGCTCAGGTGCCTTTCCCAGGGGCAGGTGCGAGGCACTCAGCGTTCCCAGAGCAGGAGGCTGGTCGGTGCCGTTGGTGCGTTCCCCGTGAGGCTGAGCCCTTCCTAGCTCCTGGAGGTGCCGGAGAGCACCCACTGCTGCCCACGCATCCCACGGCACGGGCATGCCTGCCAGCCCTGACCCGGCCCGCAAGCAGTGACCTGTGGAGCTGCGGGGCTCTCCCCTCACCTACTGCATGCCTGGCCAGATCCTGACAGCACCGCCTTTGCCAAGGCGTTGTGTGGCACTGAGTGTGACCTGGCCAGCTGGGCATGAAGTTTTCCTGTTCCCATCGGATCCTTTCAGGTCTCGCTCGCCAAGGAGAGGCCAAGGGAGAAAACAAACTCAGCAGCCTCGGTGCTTGACCAGGATCTCCGTGCTGCAGGTGCAGCCAGTCCAGCTGGGCCCTGCTCCACCAAAGAGAACAGCTGTTGTCTCCTGTCCTGCTCCAAGGAGGAGCCAGGCCCAGCATTTGCGACGATCCTTTTTCCCGGACCAGGGTCAGGAGCTTCCGTTCGCTTCTCTCCCCATGCGCTGAGGTGGGAGGTCTCCGAAGCCGGCTCTGTGATCCCAGTCCTGCTCCTCTTCACAAGGGCTGCTCCCAAGTGAGCAGAGGTCCTGTCTCAGGGTTGAGGCATCTCCGTGCAGCTCCCAAGTTTCTGGGGCTGCCAGCTTGGCTTCCGGCTGGTCGGGGTATCAGAGGTAGGGCATTCTTTTGGGCTTCAAAAGATCCTAGTGGGATCCTGTTGAGAAACTGTGGCCAGACAGACCTGCAGGTCAGAAGGGAGTAGCTGTGAGGGCTGCTAAAGGGGGGATGGGCTGTCACATTTGAGGTGGTTACAGTGGCCCCCGTGTTGTGTCCGGGGCCTCCGGCTGCTGTCGCAGCTTTCTGCCCTGCAGCCGGACAGCAGCCCCCCTTTGCCCTGTGGTGTTGAACTCCAAGTGCTGTTGATGCCGAGTGGGACAGTGGCTTTGCTGAGACCTCTGGAAGGGGTGGCTGGGGGCTGCTTTGCAGTGCCTGGGCTGGGCTGTGGGTGCAGCAATGCCGTGGGTGCGTGTGTGCCCTCCCCAGCTTCTGCCTTGGGTGTGTGGTGTTATCAGCTCTCCTCAGCCGCATGCCCGGGACCTCTGCTTAGACCGGTCCCCACTCTGTATCCTGTGATGATGCCATTTGGGGCCATATGTTTGGCGCTGCTCCTCTCATGTGAGCAGTGGGGCCTTGGAGGGAAACCCCAGATCCCCTGAGACCTTTGATGGGCAGGGGCGGGATGTGCTGCTCCTGCGGGGGTTGGGAGGCTGCTCTTTCACCCCTGACTGATACAAAGCTTCCAGTCCTCTGTGCTCGGGGCCCACTGGGGAGAAGCCGGTTCTAGACGGCGGGGACCGGAGCTCATCTTCCGTTCTGCTGCAAGCTGGGGGCTGACCTGCTACACAGCACGGTGCTGTTTCTGGTCCCACACCCTTTCTCGGCACTGGGATTGAGGACAATGGTTGGGATGAGCGGGTAGCTCCGTGATGGGATGTCTGCAGCAGGGTGCTGAAGGGGGGGCCTGGCTGGTGTTGCTGCATGCAGTTGCAGCGGTGGCCACATGCTCGGGGCTCTGGGGGCAGAGGACCTGGACCACTGGGGCTCTTAACTCTTCATCCCTTGCTGCTAAGTCCTGGCAGCAAGAAGGCCTGTGCACGCTGCCTTGACGGGCCGGGTAACGTAATACCTCCTCTGCAAGGCACTGCTGGCTTCTCCCTCTGAATTAGCTTTCTGTGTGCTGGGGCTTGTGCCAGCCCCGCTGTCTGCGCAGCCGCCCTGGCCATCACAACAGCACTCTTGTGCACTCCTTTCCTGCGGCATTTTTGGTAATGAATGGGGAGGGGGAGACAGGCCTGAAGTGCTGCAGGAGAACGCTTTATCCATCAGCATCCGCGCTGGAGCCCTCCTCGGGGGTGGGATGGAGGCTGGCGGACGGCCCGTAGCAGCTTTCTGTGCACCAGCATTTGTGAATGGGTGACAGCAAAGAGCGCTCCTTGGTGCGACGCTGGAGTCTGCTCTCCTCTGCGCACGGTCTCCCTGGGGTCACCTCCGGACATGGGTCTGAAGAGTTGTCAGTGATGGGCTGGGGAACGAGGGAGAGTTTCTGCTGTGGCCCAGGCGCTGAGGCTTTTCCCTTAGGCTCGTGGAGAGAAACTGAGCAGAAACGTCAAGAACCCTTTGGGCACAAAGCTAGCACGGTGTGAAATCCCACCCGGTCTGGGTTCCTACTGTGGGAGGAAACTGGGGATCTGCGCTCCATCCCACAGCCAGGTCAGAACGCAGCCCTGCTCGCGGTGCTGACACCAGCTCCTCCATCAGACCATGCCTCCAGCAGCCCCTGCCCTACCCTCTGCCATTGCCTGGCTGTTGGCACATAGTTTCCTCATTGCACTTCAACCTCAGCTAGCTTGATCCGTGGAAAGACCGGTTCAGGTGCTGAGAGAGCAGGCCAGGAGCCAGGGGCTTCTCGGGTCTGGTGCCCGTTGGCTCCTCTGGGTCGGTTGTAAGTGGAGCGAGGAGTGCAGCTGCCTCCCCAGAGCACTGCAGTGGCTGGTCAAGGTTCGCACTGTGCCCATGGGGGCTAAACACTGAGGAATTGCCCTGCTCTGAACGCACTGTGAGGGGCCAGTGGCCGGTCATCCTCCACTGCAAAGATGGAGGCCACGCCAGCCTTTGGAGGTTGCTGGATCCATGTCTCCTGCCTCCCAGCTGCGTTGGTTAAAAGCTGCTGGATGCACTGTCCTGCCTGCCTTCGGCTTCTCAGTCAAAGGGAGGCATTCTCTTCCCCCAGTGGGGTTGCAGCCAGCTCTGCTGCCAACCCCCCAGCAGACGGTGGATAAACGTCCTGGGGCATCCTCCTATGGAAGCACCCCTCTGCCCGCAGCAGACTGCAGAGCACAGCAGCTGGGTTTGGCCTTTGTCAAAATTGCATATTCAAGAGGCTGCCGGCAGCCCCGAAAGCTGCTGCAGGTCAGGAGTCATTGCAGCTGGTGACTGGGTTGGTGGAGACTCGTGCTTCCTGCCCTGTGGAGGCTGCCGCCTCTGAGAGAAACGGAGTCACCAGAGCCCTCGGGAAGCACGGCTCTGTCGTGCATCTCCAGGAGGGACGTCTCTGACGCCAGGCTCATGTCCTCACTCTGGGAGCCGGTCAGGAGCACGTGCTGCTAGACAGTGTGGGAGGCAGGTGTCTGGCTGCTGTGGGCTGTGGCAGGGAGGCAGGGGCTGTTTCTTCCTGCCTGTCGTGGGTTCGAAGCCTGGGCTGCCCAGTGTCTGTGACATCAGTGTGGGCAGGGCAGGCGGGTCTCCCTCCGGTTCCCCTGACTCACGTAGCCACATCCCATTGGCACCAAGCAGTGGGATGCAGCAGCTTCCCATGGGGGGTCTGGGTGTCGTGGGAGGGAGGGCTACAGGGCTCCCAGCTGTGCTTGCTCTGAGCCCTGTCTGTGCCGAATTAACAGGTCCAATCCCCTCTCCTGCTTGCTGGGAGGCAGACTCAATGGTTCGCATCCTTTTCGCTCTTGCGATAGTACTGCTGCTGCCTCCTGGCCTCCTCCGTCCACCCACCTCTGCCTTTCTCTTTCAGGTGGGAACAGCGAGAGCTGCCTAATGGGCGGGTTTATTACGTGGACCATAACACCAAGACGACCACCTGGGAGAGACCTCTTCCCCCAGGGTAAGGCGCTGGGCCTCCTGGCCCCCACACTAGAGCTGCCAGCGGGAGGAGAGGATGGAGGCATGTCTCCCTGCCTAGACAGGGTGCGGGACCCACCTACATCCCTGTCCAGGCTTGGCTCCCCTGGCCCATTCCTGCCTGGTGGACATTGGCATCTCCTGCTTTGCTTTCCACTGGGAGGAGACCCCTTCCCGTCTCCACAGCCATGGAGAGCAAAGGCAGCTTAGCCAGAGCACAGTCACTTCTGGGCAGAACAAAGAGGCCTTCAAGGAATGAGAGGTGAAAATCCTGCACAGGATCCCCCACAGCACCTGTGAGCTGGCCAGGGGACACCTGTGGCCTGGGCTGCTGTGAGTGGTATGGAGATTGCGAGCTCCCACGGGTCAGGAGCAGGACCTGCTCGTCGGTGCCTGTCTGGTCCCTGCAGCCTCCTGGGGCTGTGGGGGGAACTGTGCCTGACTGCGGCTGGGGCTGCTGGCTCTGCAGTGACCAGTGCCCTGCTCCATGCCGCAGGCTCGGCTGCGGAAGAGCAGGCCTGCCAATAAGGGGGCATGTTTTTGGCTGAAGAAGGAAGTTCCCTTAGGCCGTACCTGCACCCTTCCGAGCCTTCTTGCTCCTCCCTTGATCACAGGAATGGGGGCTCTGGGCCGGCTCTCCTGCCCCCTGCTCTGTCTCTGACCTCTGTCCTTCGCACCTTGGCCTGACAGCTGGGGGAACCTGCCACTTTCACCCTCAGCACCATCTAAGATGCAGGGACCCCTTGCTGAGCACTTGGATGTGCTCTGTCCTTTCCTGCCCGGGCTCTGCTGCCAGCTCAGGAGCAGACCAGCCCCAAGGTGATTCCCTGGCAAGTCATCGTGCTCTGCTTCTCAGCCTCCTTGCTGCTGTGCAGGCCTGGCCTGGCTCCAGCCTCTTGCCACGCGGGGGTAGAGCTGATCCAGATGGACATTCTGGGCACGTGGTGCACGGCAGGCTCCTTCAGTGGCCTTGGGAAGGCTGCGCCCCAGGCCTGATGCCTTGGGCCAGCCACAGCAGACGACTCCAGGGCCTCTGCCGGGAGAGGTCTTACAAGCCCTGTCCTCACTGGGCCATGGCCCATCCAGCCAGTGACAAGGAGACCAGCAGAGCAGAAAAACCTCCTTGGGGCCAGAAGACCCAAGGCCCCGTCCGTGCCCTCTGCTTTGTCCTGGTGCCTCAGGCGGAGACCCCTCCTGTCCTACAGGTGATGGAGAAGCTTCAGAGGAAGCCGGCACGGCCGTGACCCATCAGGGCCTTTCTCTAGCTCCTCAACTGTCCCAAAGCAGGAAGCAGGGAGACCCCCGGTGTAAGGCTCACACCTACCCACTCAGCACAGAGGTGCCGCTGTGTCTCCCCCAGGCTGGCTGCAGTGCCTCTTGGATTCATCCTGCCCCTCTGCCCAGTGCTGTGAACTCACAGAAGGGCCTGGGTGGGTGGGGGGCACACTCCCGAGCTCCCTGGGCAACAGAGATTGGTCCAGGCTGAGTCCTGGTGTCTGGAGCATCCAGGCTGGCCCGTGTACCTGTGTGGCTGGAGCCATCACCCAAGGCACTGGTGGTGCAAACGGGCTGGCGGGGCACTGGGGAAGGGCCCATCCACGTGCACGAGCGCAGCTGCTGACACGGGCCCCTCTGCGGTGTTGCAGGTGGGAGAAGCGGGTGGACCCCCGCGGCAGGTCCTACTACGTGGACCACAACACCCGCACCACCACCTGGCAGCGCCCCACAGCCGAGTACGTGCGCAACTACGAGCAGTGGCAGTCGCAGCGGAGCCAGCTCCAGGGCGCCATGCAGCAGTTCAGCCAGCGGTTCCTCTACCAGGTGAGGGTGACCAACATCTGCCCCGACTCAGGGAATTGGGCTCCCACCCTGCCACCAGGCCAGTCTGACATAGCGCCGTGCCTGCTCCGTTGGCTGTAATGAGCTGGGCTTCCTATTCCTCCTGTACCTGGCCTGCCGCGTGTTTGAGGGGGTGTGTGGCAGATCCCTGCTATGTGCCCCACAGAGCCCATGTGCCCAGCCTGCCTGGGCTTTGTGATGAGCTTGTGGCTGGGCTCAGGGCACTGCCCAGTGTAGCTTGGCCCCCAGCAACAACCCAAGGGGCTGTGTAGGAGAGGGCACCCCCTCTCCGAGGCCTGGGCCGGTGCCTCGAGGGCCAAAGAGCACCAGCAAGTTCAGGGGTAGGGGAGCATGACTCAGCTTTGCAGACTCCCCCTGCTCCCTCCTTTTCCCATGCCCTCGCGGCATTGCTCGGTGGGGTTGCCGAACGCTCATCCTCTAGGGACATGGCATCTCTGGCCAGGGCCCTGTGGAGAGGGTGACTGAAGAAGGGTGCGGGCCTTCTCCCATTCCTGGTCCTGAGCCCCCAGACGTGGAGGTGTCTGCCCATGGCTGGCAGCGGCTCCTCTGCTGCCCCTGCTTGGCACTGGAGTGAGGAGGAGGGTTGGCCCCTGGACCTAGAGGTTCTGGGATGCCTGTGGGAGAAGGGGAGCCTGGAGCCAAGCCCTCCTGCCCCAGGGGATCCTCTGCTAGGGCAGAGCAGGAGCTGTCTCGGAGCCGCAGGAACAAGCACTGTCTGTCCCCGCCTGCACGCAGCATCTCTGCTGCAGCATGTGCCCGGTGCGCCTCCAGCCCCTTGGCCCCTCTCATGCTCTCCCTCCCCTGTTCAGCCCAGTCCATGGGCTCCTGCCACTCTTGAGCTGGGCTGCCGCAGGCTTTGCTTCCTCCCACATGCCTGCCCCCTCCCGCCCAGCCGGGAACAGGATCTGGGAGGGAAGTGCTGGCCCCAAGTGATTTATAGGCAGGGGAATCCTCCAGCGCTGAGCTGGGTTATGAGCTTGTCACTCCCTGCAATGGCTCCTGCAGTGCTCGCCCGGCCGCTCCCGTGGCTCCTAGTGGTGTTCCTGGCGGACGCTGCACAGTGTGGAGCAGGGGACTCGCCTTCCAAGCTGAGCCCGATGAAACCCCGTGCTGCGCGCTGTCCCGCAGAGGTCTTGGCTCTCTGCTTCCAGCCCCAGGCTCTGGGTCACAGGGGCGGAGGGGGCAGGAGAGGCAGCCCAGCCATGCTGGCTGCCACAACGTGGGGTTTCTCCAGCTGCAGTTCTGGAGCATGGGGGGCAGGGCCCTACCCGAAACGCAGTCCCCTTCGTGTCTGCCGCTCAGCCCTGACCAGGGGATTTCTCCGAGCCTCCTGCCCTTTGGCTGCTCTGAGTGTGGGCCGTGCACTGTTATCCCATGGGAGTGGGGGGATTAGGCAAGTTCCCTGGGGCTGAAGGGGGTGGGGTACCTGGGGACTGGGAGCCCAAAGCTTGACCACTCCTGCCCAGGGGACCTGCTGCGGGGAGTTGGGTCCTGCCACTGTCAGCAGCATCATGGCTGGCTGCTCTCGTCGTTGCTGTGCCCACTGCGGCTGGCCTGGGCCCCATCCATCCTGCCATCCCTGCTCCCCTATCCTGCCAGGGCACTGGCCAGCCTGTCTGGCACCCCAGCTCCCGGGGTCATACATGAGGAAGTGCCGCCCATGGGCTTCGGGCAGCTTTGTGGTGCACCTGGCAGCTCTATAGAGCAGCTTCCCGGTCCTTGTGCAGCACTGCTGCCACTTCGCCACCCCGTGGAGTTCGGGACTGGGCTCCCACTCGCGAGGCAGGCTGGTGCCTTCCCTGGCTCAGGTGGGCCAGGGCCAGCTGCGGACCACGGCCCCCTGCTCCAGCCGTGCGGCTCTCGGAGGCGCAATGAAAAGGCCTTTCTCCGTAACAATGCATTTCTTATGCGGCTGTGGCAACATCCGCGGGCCCCCCACTCCCTGAATCCCCGACTGTTCCGTCTGGCCGCCCATCCCCAGGAGACCTCCCAGCGGTGCCGGGAGGGGGCTAATCTAAACAGTGCCCCTCCGGCCGGGAGCCCTCCCCCTCCCCCGGCCCAGGCCAGGCCGGGCGCAGGCCGCTGCGCCGCTCTCCCTGAGTGAGAATAAAGGTGCTTTGTGCAGCGCAGTCCAACCTGCCGGGGCGGGGGAGGCCCGGGGGGCTGGGGGAGACGCCTGTCTGCGCAGGCATGAATGTTCCCTCAGTCCCCGCGCCTCGCACACTGCCGCTCGCTTTCACGGCCGGCCGAGGAAGGGGGAGGGGGCCGCTGGGCGAGCCAGGAAGCGCTGGGCGTGGACAGGGCTTGTGGGAATGATTTCATTGGAAAGGCCTGCGATATTTTTTCCCCTCTTGTGTGTGGTTCTTGGAGAAAGTTGGAGGTGTAACCGTGGTGGCAATCTCAGTCGCGCCGGCCGGCGGGAGCTGAGCAGCCGCGCACGCCCAGACCTCTCCTGCCGGCCCCTGCCTACTGCTGCCGCGGTGTAGCCTGTGCGTGGGGCTTGGGTTGGCCTTTTCCCCTGCCCTGTGCGTGCAGGGGTTTTGGTTGGTTTTATTTTTAGTGCCTCGGGAGCAGGGTCCTGGTCCCTGCCCTGGCAGGGCTGGGGGAGGCGAGTGGAGAGTGCGGGGGGCAGGGAGCCCCCTGTGTGCCCCTGCTGTCCGTAACCACCTGCACCTCCGTTTTTTACTCTGTGCTTCTGCCCTCTCTGTTGTCTCTAGTCATCCAGCGCCGCATCCGACAATGACCCTCTCGGCTCCCTTCCTCCTGGCTGGGGTAAGTACAAGCCGCCTCGCCTGCGCTCGCACCTTGCTGCTCACCTGGCAGCCCCCTCCATCTCATCTCTGGGACTGGGGCACTACTGCCTCCAGCTGCTGTCCAGGGGGAAGGGGCTGCACTGTACACCACTGTGCATGCTGGGAAGGGGATGCCCCCCACATCCACGCTGCCTGTGGCACTGGCCCAGCACACGCTCTGATCTCCCACCCTGCCCGTGTGCCCAGAGGCTCCCAGTGCCATGCACTTGCTCCCAGGGCTGCAGGAGGAGCCAGAGGTCCCAGCTTCTCCTCCCCCTGCCTGGGGCTGGGGTGGCATAGGGGAGGGGCAGGAGTGCTCATGAGGGGGCCTTGGGCAGGATCGGGGTGCTCTGGGCCCCACCATGCACCCTGCTTTGCATGTCGTGACTCAGACGGACGGTGCTGGACCAGAGCAGGCGGTGGGCTCTGGCTGGGCGGCGGGGAACAGCTGCGTATGAACAGGCAGGTCTGGAGAGCTGTGCGGGGGCTGTGGGAGCAACGGGTGCCGGGACATGCCCCAAGGGCCGTTGCACTGGGCTGTGGAGCCAGGAGCATCCCACGCATGCCGGGGAGCGTCCTGTCAGTACTGCGGAGGGAGCTGCTCAGTATCTGGGGGTGTTACACCTGGGCCCTCTGCTCCACTCCCGACAGACCATGACCCCCTGCGGGACAGCCCCCAGCCTCGCCTTCCCCACAGAAATGGCTCTCCAGCCCTGAGCGGGGCGGGGGGCAGAGAGCCAGGGGCTGCGGGCTCGCTGGTAGCTGCAAGCAGGGTAATGGCGCACGGCTAAAGGCAAGGGATTTGGGGGTGCAGGGATGCAGGCCGAGCTGAGGGGCTGGCAGGGTCAAGGTCGGCAGTTGCTGTGAGCGCCTGGCCAGGGGTGAGCTCGGAGCGCGTGAGTCCCACGTTGATGCCAGGGAGAGCGAGATGGGCTCGGCATGGCCCGGCCCGCCCCCCCGAGATGGGGCGTCCCGTGGGCCGTGCCCATTGCGCAGGCAGGCAGGGCAGGGCGCTGGCTCTGGGGCCGTGTGCCAAGCAACACAGGGCCTGGGCGCTGACTCCAGAGTGCCCGCCAGCACAGGCAACACGTTGCAGACGCAGGGGGAGAGCTGCCCAAGCAGCCATCCGATGGGCCCACGTGGTCAGCTGTGCATGCCAGGCTCCAGGTACACACGGGCTTCGTGTGGGCAAGGCCGCAGCCTGGGTACCGAGGAGCGGTCACTAGCTGGCGTCCCTCAGGGGGCTTCGGTGACTTGCAGCTTCCCGCTTTCCTCCTCGGAGCAGCTGCAGACGCCGAGGCAGGGCAGGGCAGGGCAGGGCAAGGGGTGGGTGCTGACGCCAGGTGCTCCAAGCCCCCACCCAGCCAGCTGTCTGGCCCCGTGACCTCAGGGTCTCAGCACAGAGAGCCTGGCATGTCCTGCGACTGAGCGTGGCCCGACCCGGCCCGGCCCAGCCCAGCCAGCGCCGTGGCGGGGCACGGCAGAGGTGCTGTCGGGAGCTGCCTTCACTTGCCCGCCAGAGGGGGAAGGGAGGGCTGCTTCCAATTAGCACAGCAGGCTGCACACCCTCCCGAGCTGGGATGGCCGCCCCTGAGCTTCCACCCTGCGGCTTCTGCCGCAGCAGAGCAACACCAGGGAGGGCAGGAGCTTTGCAGGCTCTGAAGGGAGGCAGGGGCCATAAACCTGCCTGCGGTGCTGGAGTGCCGGGAGCTGGGCCTCTCCAGGAGGCAGGAGGGCACCCGCTGCCTTGCTGGGCTTTCCTCAGGGCTGAGGAAACCCGGCTCCTTTCCACAGCCTGGGCCTGCGCTGTCCACTGACAGTGGGCACGGAGTCTCTAGGGCAAGGATGCACAAGCAGTGGGTACAGTCAGTGTGTGTGGGAGTGTGCCTGGGGCCTGGTGCGCGAGCAGGGGTGGAGGACACATTGCACAGGGAGGGCCAGGCATGCCCGCAGGGAGCTGGCAAGTACGGCTGCGTGTGCCACAGGGGCTTGGTCTGTACCTCCAAGTGTACTGGGTGTGAGGAGCAGCGATGTGTTGGGAGGGCAGAGGGGTCGCAAGAGGTGTGCGTGTATCTAAGGAGAGGCAGTTGCCTGGGGAGGGTGAGTGTGTATACTGGGTGGTTTGCCTACAGGCGTAGGTGGGCAGTGTGGGCACAGAGGTCTGCACCGGTTGTGCACACGTAGCTCTTCGTTGGGAACGTGTTTTGTGAACGGCAGTGGAGTGCATGTGGTAGGTGGTGCGTGTACCGTGTGTCTAGGTGCATGGTGGGTGTGTCAGGGAAGTGTGAGCATGGAGCAGGCGTCTGTGCATGGTGCCTTCACTGGGCATTTGTGGGGGGTGTGAGACGTGCACTGGGGAAGTGTATGGGTATGTATACAGATAATGGGCGTGGGAGGGGCACAGGCGTCTGGGTGTCTAACGTACTTGCTCATTGGAAAGAGATGTATGTGCCTGGGTGGTACACTGAGTGTACAAGGGATGTCTGTTGTGTGCAGAAGAGGCTTGGGAAAGATTCACGTGGTTGTATGTGGGCATGTTGTGTGTCGCGCATGCAGCAGCAGTGCCTGGGAGAGGTATGGGCACATGCACTGCATGTTTACAGGGGTGTTTGGCAGAGCCGTGTGTGTGCTGGACATACAGCTTGTGTGTACAGGAGAGATGTGTGGGTGCGTGCACACAGTGAATGTGTATAGGAGAGGCGTGTGCACCCTACAGGCACTGGGTGTGTACAGGCGGCTCTATGTGCCACAGACAGTGTACGTGTAGGGGGTGTATGGGAAAGGTGTGTGTGTGTGTGTGTGTGTGTGTGTGTGCTGCACATACAGTTTGTTGTATGCAGGTGAGCTGCACTCATGCTGCACAGACGGGGTGTGCAGGGGAGCTGTGCATGTGTTGTGCAGGCAAAGACGCACTGTGCATGCACTGAGCATGTCTGGGATGTTGCACCTCTGGGCAGCAGTGCGGGGGCTGTGCTGCCATGCATGGCAGCAGGGCCCGGGGTCAGTGCCCGTCCCAGATGCTGCCCATCCAGCTCCCTGTGCCACCGTGTGCCCGGAGCCAGGGCTGCATGTGGAGTGCAGTGGGGGATGGCCACACTTCCGTCCTAGGCTTGAGCCACTGAGGCTGGGGGCAAGGGGAGTGCAAAGAGCCCGAGTCCCTGGATCTGCTCCATGGGAGCTGGGACGGAGGGGCCCTCCTGTGGAGGTGTCCAGGGCAGGCTAACGTGCTGTCCTCTTCTTCCTCCTCCAGAAAAGAGACAGGACAATGGGCGAAGGTATTACGTGAACCACAACACGCGGACCACGCAGTGGGAAGACCCTCGCACACAGGGGTAAGACTCTAGGGCACTGCCGTCTGCCCCATGTGGCTACTTCTGCGTCGTTAGCTCCAAATGTGACAGCAGCTTTAGGCTTGTAGCTCCCAGCCCAAGAGCCCAGGCTCCTGGACCACAAATCAAGCTTCCCCGGGCCTGGCACACGTCATGCTCCTGGCATACATGCACCTCAGGACAGGGGATGCAGGAAGGAAGGAGCCCACAAAGGTCCAGATGCAGCAGCCTTCCCCTTTGGGACGCACAGCTGTCTTGTCTGAGACCTGGGGTGGAGCAACTGTTGTGCAGGCCATGGTGCTAGGGACAGCCATCACACATGTCCACAGGTCCTGGAGTTAGGGACAGCCATCACGTGTCCCCATGTGAGGGGTGGTTGCTGTGTAGTCCTGTGTGTGCTGGGGTGGCTCCGTGCATGACTCAGAAAGGGGCGCTCCTCTGGTCCCACTTGGCTGGGGGATCCCACCTCACCCCCATGCAGCCCTGTGGAGCTCAGGACTGGGGAGCTCCTGCCAGTGCAGCGCCACGCCATGGGCCACACAGAGCTCTTGTGTCAGGGCTCAGCCAGGTGTCCTGGCATTTCGGCTTCCTGTGAGCCACTCCAGAGCTACAGGGAAAGGAAATACCTGCGCGTTAAGAAGGCAGCAGGAACAGCGAGGGGCTAGGGGCTTAGGGCAGGCCTGGGCCCCAGCGCCAGCTGAGTGGGTGGGAGAACCGGCCATGCAGGCAAGACGGGTCCCTCTCCCTTGGTACTGCCCGTGCGCACTAACCTCTCCCCGGTGCGGGCAGGATGATGCAGGAGCCGGCCTTGCCCCTGGGCTGGGAAGTGAAGTACACCAGCGAACGCGTGCGCTACTTTGTGGATCACAACACCCGCACCACCACGTTCAAGGACCCGCGCCCCGGGTTCGAGTCCGGGTGAGTTCCTCCCTCCTGGCTGGGGCGCCGGGTCTCCCCCCCCAGCCCTGGCTGGCAGGCAGTCTGGGCCTGGGCAGGGCTGGGAGCAAGGCCACGGGTGGGCTGGGGTGTGTGCTGGTGGGGCGGCCGCCTGAGTGAAGGCCCCTGCACTTGCCATTGCAGGAGCAAGCAGGGAGGCTCTCCGGGGGCTTATGACCGCAGCTTTCGCTGGAAGTACCACCAGTTCCGCTTCCTGTGTCATGTGAGTGTGGGCTATGCGATGGGTCTGCGCTGGGCCGGGGGCCAGGATGTCTCCAGGGTGGGAATTGGCATGGCCACTTGCCAGCTTGAGCCAGCGCTGCCAGTGACCCAGGGGAGCAGCCCTGCTGGCCCTGGCTGAGCCCGGTGCCGTGTTTTCCTCCAGTCAAACGCGCTGCCCAGCCACGTGAAGATCAGCGTTTCCCGGCAGACACTCTTTGAGGACTCCTTCCAGCAGGTGGGAACCTCCATGCCCTCCCCCTCGCACCCTTGTCCTGGGAGACCTGCAGGAGCAGCCCCTGCGTGGGCATTCCTGTGGGTGACAACTTGCTTCCCTCGTGCCCCAGATCATGAACATGAAGCCCTATGACCTGCGGCGCCGGCTGTACATCATCATGCGTGGTGAGGAGGGGCTGGACTACGGCGGCATTGCCCGGTGAGTCCCGGGGGCCTCTGGCTTCCTCCATGAGGCCCAGGGGGCACTGGCAAGGTTGGGCTCAGGCTTGGACCCCTGTTCCTGTCCTCTGGGATGGAGGAGGCTTAGGACGTGCCCTGCCACAGCAGAGTGGGAGCTAGCCTGAATCCTGGGTGCGCCCCAGAAACCGAATCAATCTGGAGGCCTCAGGCCAGGCTCTGCCTCTTCCTGGGAGCCCCTGCTCTCCTGGGGTCCTGCCATCTCGGGGAGCCCAGCTGTGGCTGCCACCCACCACCCAGAAACTGGGACGACCTGTGTGGAGGGACTCACTAGGCCAGGGTCCTTGGAAAGGCTTTGGGGCCCAGACTGGCTGCGACCGAGGGAAGGACCAGGCTGGGTGGAGGGGCTCTGCTGTCTCTGAGGAAAGGCTTGCTGAAGCAGCACTGGGGGCTGGGTCTCTGCTGGGCAGGGGAGGGTCCCTGGTCCCTGACAGCTGCAGCTTGGCCATACCTGGGTGTTCAGCTTGGTGCTGGGTAACTCTTCTTCCTGCCTCCCCCTTCCCGCGCCTGCCATGCCCTGGACCGCTCCTCCGTGGTGACCCCGCTCCCAGCCCCTGGTGCGTGGGCTTCTGCTCTCTCTCTGTGTCCTGCCAGTGGTTTTACCCTATGGTAGGTTACGTCATGCTGTTCTACCACAGGGTAGAACCACGGACTGGATACCGGGGCGCGCGCTGCGTCGGAGGACTCCTCGTCTCCCCGAGCCGCCAGGGAGGAGCCACGGCAGGACCGGGCGCCTCTCCCGGGCTGGGAAGGGGCAGCGTTCCCTGCAGAGGGGGAGGGGGCCGCATACAAAGAGGCTCGTGGAATGCGTGTGCAGGGGTAGGAGACAGCGAGGTGCCTTTCAGGAAGGGCACGTGTGGTTGGGCCAGCTACAGCGGTCTCTGAGCAAGTGCAAGGGTACGTAGGTGCCCAGCAGGGGTGCACTTGCCCACGTCCTGGCAGGGGTGTGCGTGTGTGTGTGCAAGTGAACATGGGCATTTCTGGGGTCCCCGGCACTCTCCGGGCCAGGCCCTGCTCTCTCTCTGGTCTCTGGGAGCCCAGTGGGCAGAAGGGGAGTGGGGCAGGCTCTGCCTGGCGCCGGGTGGGCAGCTGGCCTGCAGTCCCTTCACCATTCCTCGTCCTCCTGTCTCCCCCAGGGAGTGGTTCTTCCTCCTGTCTCATGAGGTGCTCAACCCCATGTACTGCCTCTTCGAGTACGCTGGGAAGAATAACTACTGCCTGCAGATCAACCCTGCCTCCTCCATCAACCCCGATCACCTCACATACTTCCGCTTCATCGGCCGCTTCATCGCCATGGTAGGAGCCTGGGCCCAGCCTGGTTCGCCTATGGATGGGGCAGCGGTGCAGGGAAGGCCCTGGGCAGCTGGCGCCTGCCTTGTGTGCAGGGGGAAGATGATGGAAGAGCCCTGGAGTGGAGGCAGCCCTGGTCCTGGAGGAGCCTGGGTACCTGGCCAGCATCCAGGGCAGGGCTGTGGGCTGCGGAGCAGGGTCTTTGCCTCCATGAGCTGTGCTTGGGGACTGAGGTGGGATGGACTCCCTGCTCCTGCCAGGGCCAGGCCCCCTCGGTTGTCGTGGTGGAGGCAGAAAGGGAGTGGGAGCCCTGGGTCTGCACCGTTGGGCCAGGCGCTCAACCTGGGCCACAGCCATGTCCCACCACGGCAGCATCCTCCCACATCCTCTGCCTCGGGGACTGCTCCTCAGGGCTTGCCGTGGCTGTCGGGCCTTGCGTGGCCGGGTCTGTGGGCAGGGAGCGGGCTGTATGTCTGGAGGGGCAGGGAGGGGTTTCTGCAGGGCCAGAGGTGCATGGGGGTGGTGTTTGGGGCAGGGGCATTGTTGTGGGGCCCATTTCTGGGCCTGATGTTGAGGCTGGGCCTGGCTCCCTGGCTGCTGCCTCATTGTCCTGTGTGACAGGCAGTTCTGGGAGCTATTTTTAGCCAGCCTGTGTGGATGTTTCCAGCTGCCCACACCTCGGTCATCCCTGCTGCCCGGCTCCACTGCTCACTGAGCACCCCGGGGGCCCAGCCAGGAGCCCCCGTGCATGGGAGGGGGCTGCTCCCAGGGCTCTAGACCCTGCCCCTTGGTGCAGGAGGCTGTAGCACTGGCCTGGCCTGCCCAGGCCGCCCGAGCAAGGCAGGAGCCCAATAAAACCCCAGACTATTACTCACTGCTGGGCTGTTCCAGACAAGTGTCTGCATTATTCTTGGCTGCCTCTGCCTTGGGGCTCCTGGAAGCCAGGGACTCAAGGAAGCCGCAGCACAGCTCTGTTTAAACAAGTGCTGTTAATAGAGCTGCAAGGGGGGCAGGCGGCGCCACACAATCCGAGGCAGGGAGGGGAGCGAGGTGCCTGCGCACCCGGCTCTGGAGGCAGGAGCCCCTGTTCCCCCAGGAGAGGAGAGGTGCTGGCCTCAGTCTCTGGGCCTGGGCCGCGGTGCCAAGAGGGTGCCAGGCCTTTCTTCTGCGCACACAGTTTTACCTAGCCAAGGAGAAATTTTGGCCCAGGCCTGTGGGACCAGCTTCTGCCAGTTGCGTTCCTTGGGACCTTCTTGCTTGTTCCCAGGATTTTCAGGCCGCAGCCCTCGGCTCCTGGTCCCATGGGCATGACCCCCATGTGCTCTCCCCCACAGGCTCTGTACCATGGGAAGTTCATTGACACCGGCTTCACACTGCCCTTCTACAAGCGCATGCTGAACAAGCGGCCCACGCTGAAGGACCTGGAGTCCATTGACCCTGAGTTCTACAACTCCATTGTCTGGATCAAGTCAGTGCCTGAGCGCAGCTCGCACCCCACCTCAGCCCTGGGCCTGGCTTCTCCTTGGGGAAAAGGATGAGGTGCCCACAGCGGATGGGCTCTGGCTCAGCCTGACACACCAGGCCCCCAGCTTTCAGGCCCTTGGCGGGCTGCAGCTGCGGAGAAACCTTCCCTCCCGAGGCAGTCAGATTGGCCATAGGATGCCCCTGCCAGCCATCACTGAGACCCCAGGGTGCCACCAGTGGGGCCGTAGCCCCCAGTCCTCCCTCCCCATTCCCTTTGCACCAAGGCCTGGTCCCCAGGAGGGATAACACTCCCCATGTCTCTGCCCACAGGGAGAACAGCCTGGAGGAGTGTGGCTTGGAGCTGTACTTCATCCAGGACATGGAGATCCTGGGCAAGGTGACAACCCATGAGCTGAAGGAGGGCGGCGAGAACATCCGGGTGACAGAGGAGAACAAGGAAGAGTACATCATGTGAGTGCCAGCCCCTGTGTGCTGCTCCCCCAGGCTGGCTGCTCCCTGGGCTGGCTGTGGCACGGGGCATGGCCGCTGGCAGCAGGGGACAGCCGGGACGTGACCCTGGGAGCTGGTGCCAGCACCTGCAGGAGGCAGAATTAAAGCCGGGGAGGGATGCGGCAGCAGGACCCAGCTTCCCTTTCAGCTGCCTGTCCTGCCTGCCCAGCACTGCCGGTTCAGTGCTGAGCTGGTTGGGATCCTGTGGGAGTTGGTGGGTTCAAGTCAGTGCTTCCCTGCCACTCCTTGGGGACTGGCTGCCTGCACCTCGCTGGTCCCTACATGGGTCTGCAGGCTGACCTGTCAAGGGGCAAGGTTGCTGCCCAGAAGAGCCAGGCCGGGATCTGCCAGGCTCTCCTGTGTCCCCAGCTGCTTCTGCTCCTCTCCACTTACCTGCTGCTCCTGACTGCTTGTCCCTCCCCGCGCTGGAGGGGCAGTGGGCAGGGTCAGCAGGAACCTGCCAGGCTCTGGGGTTGGGGGATGCTGCAGCCAGCGCTGCACTCTGCTGAGCAGTCAATTTGTCCTCCCAGGCTGCTGACAGACTGGAGGTTCACACGGGGCGTGGAGGAGCAGACCAAGGCCTTCCTGGATGGCTTCAACGAGGTGGTGCCGCTGGAGTGGCTGCGGTACTTTGACGAGAAGGAGCTTGAGGTGAGTCCGGCATCGGGGCGGTGCCTGGCAGTCCCGGCACCTCCTGTTGGATGAGCCACCTCTGGGCCTACCCTTTGTCAGCAGAGCTGCCAGGTCTGAATCCTGCCTGGGGCACAAGGGCAGCAGTGACCCTCCTACGGCCTGGGAGGAATATTGTTAGCTCATAATCCTGCCCCTGATTTGGCTCCACTGGGGGAAAAGGAAGGGAACGCATCAGCTGGACACAAGTGAGGCTGTAGGGATGTCCATCCCCCCGGGGGTCACTGTTAGGCTTGTAGAGGAGCTGATCTCCTACTGGGCCCCCTGGGATGGACCCAAGGTCCTGCTGCCCGTGCCCCATTGCACTGACCCTGGAGAAGCCAGCATGTCTGCTGTGCCAGGCGCCGTCCCTTTCCAAAGCTGGGGGCTGAATGGAGCTGCAGCTGCCCTCTGACCTGCCCTGTGGTTCCCCAGCTGATGCTGTGCGGCATGCAGGAGATCGACATGAACGACTGGCAGAAGAACACGATCTACCGGCACTACACCAAGAACAGCAAGCAGATCCAGTGGTTCTGGCAGGTGAGCTGGGCACCGGCAGCAGCCTTGGAGCCCTCCAGGCTGCAGCAAGCACGTGTCCCATGAAGAGGCCTTTGGCTGGAGCTGGCAGAGGCGCTGGGGCAGCAGGCAGTGCTTGGTGGTCAGCCTGTTTCCAGCAGGAGCGGCTGCTTAGGGGGCAGGACAGGAGGTGACTGAATAAAGCAGCGCTCGCTCAGGTGGCTCTGGGGCTGAGAGAGAAGGGGAGTGAAAAGCAGCCCTTGGCCTGGCAGCCCGCAGGGCAGAGCCCATGTCACTGCGTCACTGGGGGAAGCTGCTCCTTCCAGGGTTTCAGGCCAAGTCTGGATTCAGCTCTGCCCCAAGCCTGTGGACCAGAGCCCATCCTGCGTGAAGGGCCGAGAGGCAGGTGGTGCATTAGGCCTGCTCTCTGCCCTGGGTTGTCGGTTAGCTCCTGCTGCCCCGTGGCAGGGGGATGCTCTGCTTGGGGTTTAGTGGGTCTCTGAGGTTCCTGATGCACCTGGGTGGAGGAGGGTGTCACCAAACTGAGTCGGGCTGGAGAGGCACGCTTTCCATTGCCCCTCCCCAAAGGGGTGACTGGGTCCCCACCTTGTAGGTCGTCAAGGAGATGGACAACGAGAAGAGGATCCGGCTGTTGCAGTTTGTGACAGGGACCTGCCGCCTGCCGGTCGGAGGATTCATGGAGCTCATCGGTATTTATGCTCCGGGTCTTTGGGAAGAGGAGGAGAGTTGTGATAAGTCTCCAAGCCCAGTGGTGCTGGAGAGGGGCACGTGGGGGTGGGGGCACGTTTCCAGCTCTTGGGTCCGACGTGCTGCTGCAGATAGAGGCTCGGGCTGTCTTGGCGACGCTTACTAAACACTGGCACCTTCCCCTTTGTCCCGTCTTCTGGAGCTTTTCCACTGTTCCAGGACAGGTTAAATCTAAACATCAGAGAGGCAGAATCTCGGCCGGTTCCTTTAAAACTTTGATGAAAGTGACACGATCCTGAATTTTTTTTTAAAATGGTTTAGCGCTCGGAGTTCCTGTTTAAACATCCTGCTTAGCTGGACTAGAAGGTGTTTCGTTACCATGCAAACTTTGACTGGTGCCTTTCAGGGTTTACTGAACATTTCGGCTTCCTCTGAATCATCGTTGACAACTTTCTCCTCAGCATTGACTCAGAGTGCGGGGGCTGGAAGGGACCTCGGATGGTCCTGTCTAGTCCAGCCCCTGCTCACAGCAGGACCGGCCCCAGCTAGATCAGCATCTACTGCTAAGATTGCTTCCGCTCCTGATTTATTTCTGAGTTACTTTTTGTAATCCTTTTGCCTCCTGACCACAGACTTTTTCACTGATAATTTCAGCTCCCTTATCAGTAATTTTGATTGTGGTTGGCTTAATCCCTGGAGTTTGAGCAGTATGATGCCTTACCAAGTACACGTTTGTTTTAATTCATGTAGTTAGGGAGGGTCTTATCCATATCAATCCCCAGCGAGCTTTTGGCTTCAATGAAGTCCTGCAGCAGTGAGTTCCAGGGGTTAGCGGCATTGCCTGAAGTGCCCTTTCTTAGCCTCGGTGTTTCCAGTTTGGTGCTGGAATGAGACATGTTCTGCTTGCGCCCAACAGGCAGCAACGGGCCGCAGAAGTTCTGCATCGATAAGGTTGGCAAGGAGACGTGGCTGCCACGGAGCCACACCTGGTAAGGCCTGTCTCCTGCATGATGTGTGCGAGCGCCGGGGCACAGACCCCTGGCTTGCCCATGTTGTTTCGCACCACCCCACGGCGGGTGCGTGGGGACGTGGGCACCGCTCTGCTCAGCAGCGTCCAGTTTGTGCAGCCACAGGGGAGGTCCCTGCTGTGGGACCTGCGGGGCGGGGAGGATGGGGCGGGCACTGCATTGACAGCCTTCGTTGTCTTGCCAGCTTTAACCGTCTGGACCTTCCCCCCTACAAGAGCTACGAACAGCTGAAGGAGAAGCTGCTTTATGCCATCGAGGAGACCGAGGGCTTTGGCCAGGAGTGAGGGAGCTGGCCTTTCCCCGCCTGACCAGGCTGCCTGAGGGCCCAGCAGGTGCCAGGAACAGGCTGCGTGCTGTGAGCACCTGCTTGGGGTGGAGGCGGGCGGAGCTCATGCCAGTTCCTCTCTCCTTCCTCCCCAGAGGCAGCTGCAGCCAGCAGCAGCCTCTTGTCACTTGTGCCAGCACCGCCTGAGGGGGCCAGGCCTGTGCTCCCTCCCAGAGCAGTGCAAGCTGCTCTGGGGGGCAGGGAGGGCACCAGCACCTTGCTGAGTGGGGCAGGGGCATCAGGCCCCCTGGGGAGGGGTCTCTGGACACGTTCATGCTAAACTGTCCCTAGCCCAGTGCCTGAGCTCCTGATCCTGGGGTCTGAGGCCCAGGTACAGCAGGGACTCCTGCCCCCTCTCCCACAAATGCCTCCCTATCCCCACATGTGCCCGGGGCAGAGCCACCTCACACCAAAGACGTGGGCGCGATTGTTACCTCTCCCCAGCACGTGGTGTTGCAGGAGCGAGAGGCAGCGGATTCAGAGCACACCCGGTTACTCCTCTGTGCCGCGTGTTCATGCTTCTCGCATCCTGGAGCTGCTGGGCCATGTCCCTGCAGCCCTTTGGGGTGAGGCTTCTGCCTGTAGCCATGGGCAGCCAGAGCCCAGAGCTGCCCAGACTGCCCCGGTGCAGCTCAGGCCACCGCGGCCGCTTTGCCGAGGGCACTTGCCACGCTCCAGAGCCAGGACGGGGCTTTGTATAATGAGCTGCAGTTAAAAGGGGAGGAGAGGGGGGCACTGGTTTTCAAAGGGAGCTCTTCTCATGTTTTTCCTGCCTCTTGGGGCGTCCTGCTACACGGGGGCAAAATGGGAAGTCAGCTCTGGCTTTGGCAGCCACAGAGTCTTACATATCTGAGCCCTTGGTAGAGGCAAGGCCACAACTCCCATTGGCTTTCCTGGGAAGGGGTCGGGCCCCAGGCCAGGGAGCCACCCTCCCTGACTGCCCTTTTCCTCATGCCGCAGCTCATGGGCTCTCCGGGGTCATGCACAGAGCGAGTGGGTTTATGAATCTGGCCCCCCAGAAGCTCGGGCTGGGGGCGGGGAGGCCTCCAGGGCAGGCTGGCCTGGCCTGGGGCATTGGCTCTGGAGCTCGGGGCTGTGCTGCTTGCTGCGTTTTGGTTTGCGAGTGCGTGTGGCCCGTGTGCTCTTTATTTAATGATATGAGTGGGAGGCAGCACTTGGCCATGGTGTTCCTCGGTGCGCGCCGCACAGCTCCGTCCCAGTCTGAGCACATAGCACCCCAGTCTCACTCTGGGCCTGTAGCCGGGGGCTGCGAAACGGGCATCTCCATCTCCAACCAGCCACGTTAACTTCTTGGAGCAACGACCTTTCCAGCCGCACCCTGTGGCCAGCAGCTGAGCACCCTCACGTGGCCTGGGCCTGGTCTCCGGCCTAAGCGCAGACTCGGGGCCTGATTCTCCGGATTCACCGCCCCTGGTGTGAGTCAGACGCGCAGAACTGAGGCAGAAGCAGGCCCTCCGCCATTGCCGTGATGCCAATTCCTTACGCGGAAGCTTCTGCCAGTCTGAGCTGCTGCCCCCGGAGCCCTTTTGTGGCAGACTTGTGAGCAGCAGCGCCTGGGTGTGTGCGTGTGAGCGTGCGTGTGTGAGAGCATCCATGTACATATCTGTACAGAAACGAAGTCTATGGATACAAAAAAAAAAGGCAATAGCTTTTGATGGGTAACCTGGATAGTTTTGTACTGCACCATCCTGCCTCAGTGACACCGATTTCTTGTGCAATAAACAATAAGCGGCTGCTTGTGCAGTTTGTGCGTGAGTCTGTGACAGTGGGGGGGGGGACCCCAGGGAGGCGGCCTGGTCTGTCCACCCCTTCACGCTGGGGGTTGCGAAGGAGAAGGGAAGAGCTGAAGCCGTGGTGTGTCTGGCCCATGGCAGCCGGGCTGTCCCTGTGCGTCCAGCTGGTGCAGACCAGGTGCGTCCCCATCTCTGCTCCTCCGCAACATCACTGGTCCGTGCCTGGGCACCGGCTGCACGTGTGCTCCAACCTGCGCAGCGATCGCCCTTGCTCTTCGGCCCTCACCTGCGTGCACCCTTGCTGCCTTGAGGTAGGCAGCGCGTGCCCCACAGACAGTGGCTCTGGGTGCTGCACTGAATTCGGAGCTGGCTTTGCCTGGGGCCTTGCTGGCTGACCTGTCCTGATGGGAACTGCCACAGAGGCAGGGGAGAGCCATGACTACTCTCAGCCCTGGCCCTCCGGGTCAAAGGGAACACCCCAGCGCAGGTTAGTCTGGAGAGGGCTGGTGACGAGCTCTGCCTGGCAGGCGGGCTTGGAGCTGAGTCAGGGAGCCCCTGGCCCTTTGCCCGGAGTGGTACAGGAGGCTATGACTGCAGCAGCCTCTTCCCTGCATGAGCAGGAGACGGCCAGGCCAGCCCAGGCCACTGCAGCTAAAGGGAAGCAAGGCCCGGAACTGTGCTCACTGCCCTCGCAGCCGGGGGACAGCAATAGAGACCACACGGCTTTGCACCTGCCATCTGCGAGGTGGTGTGGATGGACCTGCACCAAGTGCAGCCGGGTACTGCAGCCTGGGCAATAGGAGGCACGGGCAGCTAAGGTAGGGCCGAGGAAAGCAGTCCAGGCACAGCGTGTGGGCAGGATGCCATCGGGCCAGCAGCTCTGACCGCTGTCGGCCTGGAGGACAGCAGAGCTTGGCCTGCTGGAGAGCATGGGGCCTCCTCCCCAGCCCCACAAGCTTCCCTCCCACTGCCCCGGATCGTGCCAAGAGGGCTAGGGCTGGCGCGTGGACGTGCTCCACATGCCCATGTTTGGTGCGCGAATGGCCAGCGGCTGCATCCGGCCCACATGCCAGCGCAAGCCGCTCCAGCCGCCGGGGCTGGAGGTGAGGCCGATGCTGCCTGGAAGGGGCTGTCCCTGCCACCGTCGCGTGTTCCAGGAAGACGAGCGGTTTTACTTGCAAATTTGCCTCCGGGGGCTGGCAGGGCTGAGTGCCAGCCTGGCCACCGCACTTGGAGCCTGGGCCTCCCGTGGCTTTGCCAAACAAATTGAGGACCCAGGAGGACGGCCTGGGCTTGCTGTGGGCCCCACGCTTGTCCTCCAGGGCTCAGCGCAGGCCGCAGGAACCCCCATCTGCACCTTCTGCTCCAGAACCAGCTGCTAAACTTGACCCTTGCGTACAGGGTCCCTGCGCTCACCCCTGCCCCTGCCTGGGATGAAACCCCATTGCGAGGGGGGTTACGTGCAGGCGTGTGGGAAGCCCTTTAAAGCCAGAATTCCTCTACCGAGCCCACATAGAGCAGCGGCAGCAGGAGCCTCTTACCAGCGCATGGCACAGCCTGCAACAGGCTCTGAAAACGCCACTTCCGTGCTGCAGTGAGGATGCTTGCGAGCAACTGCAACCAAGATGGGCCAACCGCTGCACTCAGTGCTGCACCAGGGGCCTGCCACGCAGGGTGGTGTAGCACCCAGGGGTGGGCCAGGGGATCACGGGCAATGCAAGCCAGATGGCTCCCTGCCCCAGGGAAGGGCCCTGCCAGCTGGATGGATTTGACAAATGAGGGGGAAGAGGCTGCTAATTGCAAGCACAGGATGAAGTGCTGACCAGAGCTGGCAGCTGCTGCGCTTGTGGTTTCAGGTGCTGGTCAGCGCAGGCAGGGCCGCGGGAGGAAGCATTTAGGAGCAGTTTGGACGAGGCGAGGGTGCACACGTGCGCAGGGCATCTGACGCTACCTCCCCAGCACAACATGGAGCTGTGGAGGAAGGTCCAGGAACAGGAGCCAAACACCAGGAGCTTCAAATCAATCAATCGGCAATGGTGCTAGAGCACTGGACCCTCCATGGCCAACAGCTGCAGCTGCTGCCACACCCGCAGCACGGCCACACTTGTAGGAGCTGCCTGCTGCGGACAGCCCTTGTATCCCACTCCTGGCCTTGAGCAGCCTGCAAGGCCCAGCCAGCTGCACCTTTCTCCTGACTGGTGAGTGCCCAGTGTTTTTTTTCTGTTCCCCACTATTGCTTGGCCTCTGTTAAGAGTAAGCTGTGTTTTGAGCATGGAGGGTAGGAAGTCTGAGTGGTCAAACTGGAAGTTAGGCCAGGAGTTGCAAGCTTAGAGACAGCTAGAGCAAGGCCAGGAATACAGAGGCAAGACCTAAAGCAGCTTTGAAGTGGCTGGGAGGGCACATCCCCGCAGTGCGGCGCAGCTCCCTACCTCCCCTTTGGCTCCCTTGGGCTGGTGGGAGAGCACAGGGGGCGCCAGCCCTGACCTCGAGCAATGCTGAGCGGTCTGCACAGCGGCAGAGAGCAGCAATGGGGCTAATGCAGCACTTGGCCTTGTGAGATGTAGGCGGTGATGAACCGAAGCAGGGGCAAGAGGAAGCTTCTTGTGCCGGGGCGGTCTCAATTCTCTGCCACTCGTGGCCGATGTTATGACTTGAACGTTCACATGAATGGGGGGCAAGTGGTCAGCCTGTTAAATGAGAGCATTCAAACCACCTTCCTGCTCCTTTTGGAGAATGAGTAGAGTTTAAACTGAGGAGCAAATGCTCCTGCCCTACATCTGCCTCGCTTGACCCAACCTGTAATCAAGTGGCTTGTGGATGGGTCCAAAACGCCGTGCCCAAGGCTGCCGAGCCGAGCCGCTCTCGTTCTGCTCCAGTGGCACTTGGAGGGAAGACGACCTGGAGTCTGTGCGACTCCTCGTCACAGTCCCAGCACGAGGCGCGACGGCGCTTTCGCCCCTGCCACTACTGGTCCGAGACTAGGCTGGCAGCTCGCCCCGCTGCAGAAAGCCTCTTCTGGATGTCGTTAGCATTTGACTGTCCCTGGCCAAACCCGCTTGGAAGGCGTGGAGGCCGATTATTAGCAGGCTTTCTCCAAGCTATTTCCTCTGTAATTACAGGGCCTGGAGTTGGGGGCTGAAGGTTTAGTTGCAGCTGTCCCTAAGCCGAAGTAAATAGCAGAGCTAGACTCCTATGGCCTCGGGAGGCAGGCGGGCAGCCCCCATGTACCTCAGCCAAGTCGGCGCCACAGTTGCGGCATTCCTGGCTCCCCCCAGCTCCAGCGAGACTTCTGCCTAGGGAGGTTCGTGCTACCCACTCACACCTCTCTGCTGCCCTGGGAGGACGTTAGCCAGCTGTTACTAGAGCACCAGCACAAACACGGAGAGCAAAGGCTCCTTCCTGGGAGGCCTTTTGGAACAGGCTGGCTTGAATGTGAGCGCTGGGCGCCCCCTCCCGTGGCTCTTCTGGACTACAACATCCAGCCTGGACAGGACGGCTCTGCACAGCTGTAGGCCACTGCCCTGGTAGGAGGAAAAGGCCCCGAACGGCTGTGTGGTGGGGACAGCTTTTGGCTTGGTTTTAGTTTTTAAGAAGGGAACCTTGCAGACCCATTAGAAGTCCGTGTCTGTCTCGTGCATTGCAGAAGCTTGGTACCTGCTGCATTCACTTCGGGGTTTCTCGGAGCGAGCCCAGCTCTGGTTCCTGTCCTGGCTGGGCTGCGTACACAGAGCTCTCTGATCCCTGTGCTTACGCTGTCCCTCAAGGTTGAGGGAGTGCAATATCGTCTGTGGTATGATGGGGCCAGGCCGTGTCCCCAGAACGGGCATCAAACTCATCTGGCTCCATGGGC